TGCCTTAACAATAGCGCCATAACCAGTTGGAACTTCCACTGCTTCAACTAATTCCTCCAGTGTCCTTTCAACTGGAACTTGTCGGACAATGCCCATTCTAGTCATGCTGTAACTTGGGATAATCGCTTCATATTTGGCTGGAGAAAGAGCTGGGTGGTCAAGGAAAGCATTAGCATCACTGAAAGTTTTGAATTCAAGAGATATTCTATTTCTGCCAACACGTTTGATGCCATCTCTGACAATATTTTTAACATTGTTCCTAAACAAAAAATGGCCAAATTTAATGGGGCGTAATGCGGTGCCGGAAGAGGGATCCGATACTGTTTTGTTCACATGAACAATGAATGGGGCGATATCTTGTGCCATGTATTTGTTTTTGTTGTTTAAGAATTCTGGGTTGGTGAATGTCAATTGGGTGGACGGAACAGACTGTGAGGTATTGGTTTTTTTGGGAGGTTGAGATGATTCCACGTCAGTGGGGGCTCGTTTCCTACTTTGGATGATTTTATCTACTTCCATTACCTCAGTCTGAGATTGCGAAAACAGGCGAGGAGATGACTGAGCACGTGGCTCAGCATCGCCTCCCCCCGGATCAGGAGGATCGGACATTTACAACAAAGTTATAAAGCTTTTACTTACCAATACAGTTAACAACACTCATAAACTACTTAAATAGACACATAAAATAAGTCAACAGGGGTTATGAAGTAAAGAAATTAGCTAAAAAACGCACTAATTCACAGAACACCTTGTAGCTAACACTCAACCTAACAGCAGAGTCCACAGAATAGCCAAGCGAACATTATATAAAAAGCTCGGTGTACAAACAGGGTTTGTGCAAGTTGGAGGTATCTATTGAATTTTTAAAAACGAACATCATTATGTTATTACAGTCTTTTTTCACTACGTTATCGTTAGTTGTATTAATTGCAAATTGGAAAATTATCTGATGTAGCATCTTGCAATTAAGAGTAGGTATAAGTATAATGAAAAACTTAACTTTAATGCTTTACAAACTCATTAATGTTATAAAACGTTCCTTTATTAGATGATTTCCATAGGATAGAAATAACTTCTGATATGTTTATTATTTTTTGTAGGAATTGTAACTGCAAAACAACTTTCGAAGATAGTATATGTAGAAAACCACAGTACTGTAAAAAGTAACTTTACGTTGGTAAAGATTACGTAGGTGAGTGTGGGCATAGTGCACAATTAAAGCTATTCATAAAGTGATTGAGGATAGATAGATAGATTTTCTCTTTTCTCTTTGAATGTTTATTGGAGATACACTTCAAAACCGGCAAGTGTTTCGATTTGGCGTTGACTCGTAAATTTAGTATCCCATACGCGCAATTGCTTGCACTTTTGTAACTATAGTGAAAAAATAGGGTGGTTTGCATTAATATTGGACATAACTGGTTGATGAGTGTACCACCTCAGTCAACCGTGACCATGGGACCTGTAAAGGGCCCGAAACGTCGGTTTGTTTGAAAAAACAAATATACGCGTTGTATTATCTATGGAAGAATAGCTAGCCATCTGTTTAGTTTATAAAAAAAACAAGAAACCCGCCATTTGCAAAATCCATAATTGTAATGTTGTGAACCATATTTATTTATATAAAAAACAAATTATCGTTGTATATATTTCCTCACAAATGTGATAAAAACATTGTATGTATCACGTAAAAAAATATAAACTCGAGTTATTAAAGACCTCAGCCTTCGACCTCAGGCTCTCTCTTGTTGGTAAATTTGTTTTTACTGCCCTTAATACACAATGTACTATTTTACCTCACTAGCTCGGAATGGCTTTCTTTCTCATTAGAAATCTGCAAAAACGTTTTTTTTGTGCGAAAAGGTTTTTGAAATTCGAACTTGACGATATACTGTGGTGCACGTAACTTTTTCTTTCGATAAAAAAAGACTGACACGTTTAACTACACGATTTGTCGTACATTATTTATGTAACATGAATTCGTTCGTATATTTTATGCTTATTATTATTGACATTTAATCGACAACGATAAGTGATTTGTTATAGTTCAACTGTTTTTCTTTCATCTACTATTTTCCTCGCTATAGAAAGGTGAAAAGTTGTGTGTTCATTCGGCAGCAAAATTGTTTTTACCTTCACTCGTGGGTTCAATCTTAGAATCCTTCGCTTGCTCAGGTTTCAATACCATCAATAGCGTCAAACAACAACTTTGCAGCCTTGCATAACAAATAACTATTAGACGTGCTGTAACTGTTCAAACAGAATTCTCACTGAAACGTAGATCATTTTGCAACATTGTAGAATCGCAAAACAAAGATGCAACGACGCTGAACTTTTAATAAATTAATCAACAACACATCAATAAAACCGTGAAGTCAGAATGGCGGGTGTACGTAAACGGACCCTTTTTTTTTGACGGGTGATAATTTTTATGGATACCCCTGAAGACCTAAATAAAAGAGGTACATTTTTAAATATAGATACTTAAAAGTACAATTTATGTACATTTTTTGGTACTAAATTTGTTAGGATTCGTTAAGATGCACACGACACTCTGAAATGGCACAAGTTTAGCTTTATATCTCAGAAACTAACCTGCAGATCCAGCTGGAGTTTCTTTTAGAGTACTATTAAGGTACAAATTTTTGGGACATTAAGTTTCTATAGTTATTAAATAAAAACTGATAATCTGAGGTACACACGCCATTCTGACTCTCACATAAAACCTTACGGCCTTACGAGTGTGAAGATCATAAGTTACAATCTTAAAATATAATGTACAACATGACTAGAGGCAACGTTATTGATTTATAATATTAATATGGAGGAAAATGGTAAAAATAAATCAGTAATTTGTCGAAGAAGAATAACAAGGAACAGAGTTCATTTTATGTATTTACATGATAACCATGAAATTTTTATACAAAATAAACATCACTTGTTTAAATATTGATCGATTATTTTGCACATAAAATATTACAACAGGCGTTGTTTGAAGTTCGGTCTTAAAAATAGAAATCTATTTTGAATCCAATAATTTACGAAAACCTACGTAGGTACAAACTATTAAGTACGTATGTATTTCCTTGTTATCGTATTCAGTAGTTACTGAGTCCAATTGAACACCTGTCTCGAATTTGAGCCAGCAATTTGACCACTATTTCAGTCGATATATTGATAGGGTTATGGCTACATTTGTCAGCCCTAGAAAATGCGAAATTTTTACGGAATGTGTACATCGCCAATGTAGCTTTATATGATTATTATCTTACTCAATACGGTATATAAATTAATAAGTAGAGATTACGTAATATCCGTGCAAACTTACGTACTTAGTGTAAATTGTATTTCTATACAAAGAAACAGGTCTATATCTTGTTAATTGATTAGGTATATAGAAGGACCGTTTCAGAGTGAAATCAATTCAAGCAAATACAAAACTGTTAAGAGAATTAAAATATTTCGAGAGTAACACTGGGGCAGGGGGGTAGAGAGGGCCGGGCAGTGTTTCTGGACAAACCAGTTACCGAGCACCTGGCAGCAGCCGCGTGATAATTGCCCATCGCAGCAGATGGCCCACTCCGTTTATTACCATTCCGCCTTCAGCACACTCATTTATGCACTGTGTTGGTTCCTAAAGCAGGTGTGGACCTTATTTTATTGTAGTAAAGTCGAGCTAAACCACTTTGACTCACGATTTTACTATACCAGACATATAAATAATCAAAATCTTTTTATGCGGTAATCTGTGGATGATTAATATGGTTCATTGTGCAATTACCTATTCTGTTTGTTTTAACTACATACATAATACAATTTGAACAATTGTTTGTCATCCCTCAATATAATAGAACGTTACGCGCATCCAGTTCTTAAGCACTTCTTAGACTCAATTTAGTTATATACATAAGAGTAACTTATACAAATTGTGCTGTAATTACGTAAATGTGTGAATATGTCCCGTCGCAGCATCGGTAACAAGCAGTGATTATTCACTTCTGCTGCACGCTGCATGCGGATTCCTTCAGCGCGGCGGAGGCGCCCTTTCCCTTGCCTCGAATGTTTTCCCATCATGTCCGTCACAATGACAAGTTTCAAGCTACAATCTTCATTAACATCTCTTTTTGTTCCCTTTTGCTTTGCTGTCTCCCCATTTGCAATTTCACATATTGTGGAGAGAATTCTTAATAGCGCAACGGCTTACAGTGAAGACTTTTTTTACGACACGTCTCGCTTTGTTTATTTAAAGAATCACATTACCTGTTCTTTTTAACTTCCTCTGGGCGTTTTTGGGTAACATACTTTAGTTACGTGTCTAGTAATAATTCAACTGTAGGCAAAGCTATTAAATCTAGATAAATTATGTGTAGATAAGAGGAATATACGTATACTTATATAACAAATACGTACATATAGAGGGTAGACTACCAGTTAACGGAACGGTCTGCAGAGATTGCAGTTCACGGTTGAACGAATGTCATTGAGCCGCCCCGCCGCGTCTCGTTGCCGGCTTCCTGTACAGACTTTTGTGTAATGCCCATTATGATAAGTAAAACCGCAATACAAAGCCGTTGAACAACCCATTCAATACGCCTCAAAAAGCTATACGTACAGCTCAGTATTCCAACATATTTTTATTCAATCAATATAATATAATGAATATATACCTCAAAAGACTTCAGTAAAATTTTTAAACAAATTGTCAGTTACCTTTAAAAAAAGGAACTAGAACTAAAATGTAATTAATTAATTCAGCTGCAAATTTAATTGTAAAGTGTTTCAACCATTTTATTTCGCACTAATTATCAAAGCGATACATGTTAGGGAATTTCCAATATTGCCACTCGAATTTTTGTTACTGAAAAGGGAATGATGCAAAATATATAAAATGTTATTCACACAAATCGTGCCAAAGATTCGTAATTTATGTAAATAAACGAACCATATGAAATTTTAATTATTTTGCTATCGAAATTATTTACAAAAATGTATTATTTCAGATAAATATCAAGCAACTAGAAGAAGAAAGTTTTAATGATGTTTTGGACCGCCACGAGAGTCCGAAGCTGATGCATAAGATTCGGCACAACAAAATGCTGCACTCTCAGATGGCGAGACTGGCGCGCACGCTCGACCAGCTCGAGGAGTATCAGCAGAATCTGCAGACTCAATTGTTGGATGTTCAGCGTCGAATGGATCGCCTTGAAGAACCTAATTGGAATCTCTTGTCCGCTAAAGTTGATCTTCTGGAATTCGAAAACAAAATCCTAGGAAACCAGCTCAAGAACACATCTCAAAAAATGTCTGATTTTGACAAACTGCACGCCTCTTTGCTGGAACTTCGCGAAGATGTTGAGAATATTGAGAATAAAGCTGACAAAACAATACCCGAGTTTAGAAAAGAAATTTCAAAGCTGGACATAAATTTTGCCCAGGTATGTCATTATTGTACATGTTTTTCTTTTATTATACCAAGTGACAGGACGAACACGTCGTTCGCCTGGTGTTAAACGACACGTCTGTCCATAGCAGTTGCAATGCCACTTAGAGCTTTAAGTCGCACAGATCTGAGAGACACTGCCACTGCGTCTGTCACCCTGAGACAAGTTATAAAGTCCTATATCCCTGTAATTTCACCAGCACCCTTACCCTTCAAAACCGACACACAGTAATGCTCACATTACTACTTGGCAGCAGAATTAAGTAAGGTGGCAGTACTTCCCTGGACGAACTCTCTCACAAGGAGCTCTACTGCTACTAAAATCTACTTAAATAAAAGACAATAACATAACAAATTTGTTCATTAATCAGGACTAACGGAACTATATAGTTGTAATAATATATATAATATAATATAACCCTAACATATATTTATATTAGGGTTATAATATATATAAAGGTTAGGTCGGTCAAGTCAAGAAAGTCATCTAATTTCAGCTGAACGCGCAATCGTCGTATTTGAAGGAGGACCAGGAGAACCTGCGGCAGTCGGTGAAGGCGATTGCAGTGAGCGTCAGTAACGCCATCGACCGCGCTGAGATGGACCGTCTGCTTCTCACCAAGATCAATGACTCCATCGGTGACCTGCAGACAAGTTCCAGGCAACACTTCTATCGCCTGAATGACCATATTCTCAAGGTATTGTTACAAATGTAGTTGCAAATCCGTTTCAAATTAACTTATTATTTTACCTCAACAATTCATCAACCGTCATTCATTTTATTAACATTTTTTTAGAGTGAAGCCAATGCGAATCATACTGAAACCATTCCTCTCCCAGAGCTAATGGGAGAAGTTAAGGAATTGCAGCCAGTGGAAAAAGAATATGAAGACCTGGTTAACCAATTGCCTAAAGACTGCTCCTACATTTCCGGGCCTGCGGGTACTTATCTCATCCACCCTGGTCAGCGTCCCGTCGAAACGTGGTGTGCTAATGGCAGCACGCTTTTGCAGCGCCGCTACAATGGATCTATTGAGTTCAATAGAAAATTCACCGAGTATGTGCGCGGTTTTGGCAATGCCGCTTCCGAGTACTGGCTTGGCCTTGAGGCAATGCACCAGATCACCGCTGACAACTGTTCCGGAATGAGGATTGACATGACTGACATATATGGAGGCAACTGGTACGCGCAGTACGAACACTTCTCTGTTGGCAGCACAGGCACCGGCTACGTTCTCAACGTAGGGGGTTTCAAGGGTAACGCCAGCGACGCTTTCGAGTACCAGAATCACATGGAGTTTTCGGCCATCGATCGCGACAGGGATATTTCAAATACCCACTGCGCTGGCAACTACGAGGGTGGCTGGTGGTTCTCCCATTGCCAGCACGTGAATATTAACGGCAAATACACATTGGGCTTGACCTGGTTCGACTCCGTTAGGAATGAGTGGATTGCCGTGGCGACCAGCGAGATGCGCATGTTTCGCCGAGAGGGTTGCCCTTAAATAATCTTCCATTACACGCAGCTAGTAGTCGAAACATACATGTATCAGTTTTATTCCGCTTAAAATGTTTATATGTGTAAGTTTAAATGATACCAAAGAAATTCTAGTAGGGGACGTTATTTATAGAAACTCATGCGTTTAGAGCTTGGAGTAACTCGTAGACAATCAAGTAGAATAGACAAGACGTAATCTAATAGGTGCTCCTGTGTGGCTACTCTTTTTTCTGTAATATGCCATATGATTTCATGTATGCGTGTCAGTGCGTCAGTATTCCGCAACAACGGCCAAGTAGTGGAGATCACGCGTCTCGAGTCTAAGGTATTAAAGCGCATAATTAAAATATCTATTGTCTTTATTACTTTCTGTATCGATCTCTTCAATAATCAACATTTATGAGTAATCTAAAAATATTTTAATTTTTTTAAGTTATTTAGTTTATAACTTTTTCTTTGTATATAGGTAATTAAATTTATGCAAGTAATTCCCTATCGTATTTAGTTGTAAAACATTTTCAATATTGCTGAAAAACTTTAAGCGTAACATGTAAAAGGTGAAAAACTTTACATTCCAATACAGCTCTAATAAGTAAAACCTTCAGGGGATTGCAAAATTTATAATTATTATTAGTTCTTAGTTTTGTATATAAAGTGTGATGTGATAGTATCGTGCATTTGACAGTGACGGTGGAGCCGCCACTTGACTTATAGAGGTAAAGCGAAAGTTGTAAAGTTGTGACTAAGGAAACAGGGTTCCTTGTTTGACTACGGGATCCTAAAAGACTGTTTATCAACCTATCAAGATATTTTTTTTAAGAATAGATATTGTTGAGTCACGATTTCTCAAAATTGTAAGTTAAATCGATTAAATTGGAATAATTAATTTTTAATTTGATATTATTTATGTTAACAACATACTTATTAACATGTAACAAATAAAACTAATATTTTTTGTATTTTATCTAAAATTATAGAAGGGGAAGAAGAGAAAGAAGCAACACCGAGCTATTAAGCGATTGATACAATATTATATTTATAAATATTTATCTATATCTATGATTATATTGTGTGAATTACGCCTTTTCCACGTAGACAAAATGAGCGCCGAAAATGTTAATCTAGGTAATTATTGTACCAATGGATTTAAACCAAATAAAATATGAAATTAAATGTACCATTCGAATTTCATTTCGTCTTTTCTTTGTACATTTTCGTAAGAATGGCAGGTTCGCTTTGGTTATTTAAAACGTGATTTTCCAATATAGTCTTTTGACGATTATGGATACCTTCTTCGACCCTGGACTCGTAGTAATCTTCTGACTCGAACGGCAGTATCCCGTTCCACAACGTCGACGTAGACGTCTCTGTCATTGCCTTTGATGTCGTAGAGGAACGACTCAAATTCTCCGAGAATTTTATATTTACTTTAATCATTTTATACATATTTTGCTTGTGTATTCTATATGCTCCCCCTTCCACATAATCTCTTATGTCATATATTTCTCCAGCAACCAAAGCTAGCTTGTTATCCAACTCCCAAGGATGCAAATCATGTTCAATATGTTGATGCATTAATATTTTTTTACCTCTAGTTCCATCCAGCCATTGCAGCAGATAGTGTGCTTTAGTCGCTTCAAATAGAAGCTGCAAATTTTTACTGGTAATATTCACCGTTAAATATTTGAAGTTGTACTCCAACCAACTGGCAAAAACAAAGTAAAAGTAGATAATTAATATGCATCTTTGTAATCTTATTCTTAAGTCATATTTAGATACTTAAAAATGTTGTCATTTGTTTTTAAACATATGTGAAAAATCTAACGATCTTTAAGATACGATTGTATTAGTTACTGACAAACTTATAGTTAGAAAAGTTGATTCCTTAACATAATAGAGTAAATAGTTGATAGCAAATATTGGGGGTCCCGTCTACTTTAAAATGTACATAAGGTGAAATAATTCGTACTACGACAATATTATTCCTATGGTCTGATATATAGAAAAATAAGTTTTTCATATGAAACGAAGGGCATACTTTCTCGGTCCTGAAACATGCGTATAATACATACAAATAGTAAGTACATTATCACCAGTTTGCTGGGTCTTAGAAGATTATAGAACATATTGGTGAGTTAGAAGAAATCAAAGTAACCTACTAATAATACTGGCGTAGGTCAGTGTAAATGATCGGCAGGTCGGTCTTATAGCCGCAGCCAAAGCCCCAAGACTGCAGCCCGACAAGGTCTTTGCCAACGACGAGCGGCGCACCCGGCACTGCCATACACGGGCAACCAGGATTATTCTCACGCGCCTGTCCCACGCACAGCATACCCGTTCTAATCTTCAGTCCATACTATAAACACAAAATACACACAAAAGGTTACTACGTTCAGTACCGTCACTGGTATGGCCCACCGCACTGAGGCAAAATTAATATTAATGGACGTCAATATATATTATATATATATATACAATATATATATATTCTTTCTTTTTTTTTTTTTTTCACACACTCAACATAGCTCCGCACTAGGGAAACCCTGTGTCGCGGGTGCCATGGACACACACATAGACAACCACAAATTACACCCAAACTCACGAGAGAAATAAATGTAGGCCATACAAATATTTCTCCCGGCCCGGGAATCGAACCTGGGGCCTCTGCGTGGCAGTCCGGCATGGTAACCTTTCGGCCACGGAGGCAGTTTAGCCAGAAACTATTGAACGCAAGCCGAGTTTACTTCATTGAGCTATATTGACTAAGACTCTCTTGCACCTACACGGACTTTAGTCGGGTATACATTAGGGAAATACACTCATGGACAATGGCCACATAGATCAGAACGTTTAATTTGAAAAAAGAATTAGTTCAATCGTTTTTTTATTTCGATTGTAATCGCTCTGGTGTATGTGGTCAGTAGTTCCGTATGAACGTTGTTATTTTTTTATTTTATCTTTTTTTTAACGTTCCTCTAATTATGTTTATGAACATAGTTCCAGTAAACTAAACTTAACGGCAGTTGACACCACCAAACCGGAAATTGTGCTCATCAAGAACTGACCATATATACATATAGATGCAATGGAATCCTCGCTTCTTTGACAGTATAAAAACTTTAAGTAAATACAACACAATATAAAACAAATATTATTTAGTGCAAACTAAAACAAAATACAGACACAAGGTTCAACGTGCGAATTTTTTGCTAGATAGCAATCTCTTTCTGTTTTGCATTGTGTGGCTGAATAAAGCACCTATTAAATAACAATTTTACAGTTGGTGATAGATGGAAGCCGTGGACTAGATAATATATACGTGACTAGTTGATACTGTACTACTTATATACCTATTGTGTTCTTCACTTATAGAGTGTACTGTATTATCTTACTTGAGAATATGACGAGCAGGCTTTTTGCTCTAGTGGAAATGTAATTGATCTCAACATGGGATCAAATTTTTCATTGGGAAACCATCTTGAAGCGCGGGGTAAACATAATTCCTTTCCCTATTTATGCGAAAAGATTGTTATCAGAAATAAACACAGTAGCACTAGGTAATAATAATTACCCAAATTTATAATGTATTTTACGTGAAATGACCTTTTAGGGCGCTTACACACGACGACTTTTAGCAGCGATACTGTAGCGATGTGACTATATATCTAATCGTCTACCTTTAAAGACGCGCGCGGCTTTACGCGCTACAACGCGATACAAACGCGAGCCAACGCGATACACGTTTTAAATTAACTAACTTATTTATTTATTTAATGTATTATTAATATCACTTTCAAGTTTACAATTAACAAAGCAAAATAATTAAACCTATACAGATTTTCCGTACATAATTATTCAACATAAGCGACTGTATCGATACAGTCGAGCGTATGCATCGTTGCAATCGCCTATAGAACGCAAGTGTAGCGATGCATCGCTGCTTAAAGTCGGCGTGTATAACCACTCTAAGACTTTTTTGTTTACATTAAACAGTGTGTAAAAAGTCCTTTCACGAAATGTACACATAATGTACATCAAACTGCCTCAGTTACATTAAGCAAAAATAATTGCTGGCAAACAAGGTTTATTGTTAGTTGTTAAAATATGGCTGTTTTTTAGGACGCGCAATATATTTCAACGCGTGCAACGGAGTGCATGAGTGTCTTCAATCCACTTTCAGCCTGATCGTGGTATGTACTTATTACGTGAGATGACTATGTTGTAGTCTTCATAGAACTTTGACCGCCGTACGCATTTAATAACGTCACGTCTCACAACACGTCGAGAATAGATCTGGGGGCCTACCATAACCTTTCCAAGAATAATGTTATTTCAATGTAAGCTTAAAGTAAGCTTATTTTAATATTACTCATATTCGTACCATGACGAACCTGTCAACCAAGTAATGTAATATTGCAAAAGTGATTGAAAGAACGAATGATTTCCCAATATTGTCTATTCCTTACTAAAAATAGGAAAGAAATAACGCTATGTGAACTATATAATGCCATCTCTTTCTTTTTGATGTTCCGAATTGTCTTATCGTAGTTTAATGTTTAAGTACTTAATGTTATTTACATTCAGAGAATTTTGACTGTTAAGAAAACAAAAGTATATAATAATAAAATCTATAGAAATTACGTTGTTGTCAATAATTATTCCGAATTGTTATGAAGAAAAATAAATAAAACAAGCTGAGACTTGATAGTTGTGAATTTGGAACTATAGTCTAGTGTCAACAGTTAGTTTCGCCAAAGAGCATATAGATAGCGCTGTTTTAATTTTACGAAATAAACATCGCGTATTTTTATTTAACGAAATTTTTTGTTCTATATGCTATTAAATAAAAAATAAATAAAATATTAAAGAGATATATGTAAATAAATAAGTTCAACTTAACTTTTAATCATTACAAATTCAATATTAAGACAATAAAACTGAAAATAATATTGTTTCCATTGCATCCGTATAACTATTTTAAGATTGCTATAAGATTTTGACATAAGAGCAATATTTACTTTAATGTTAAGAGGGAGCATGCCAAAAAAGTTTTGACGTTGGCTCGGCCCAAATTTGTGAAACAAATATATGCCTGAAGTTCGCGTGATATGCGACAGGAGATGTTGAATTTTGCGTATTAAAAGTACCAAATTCGTTTTAGCGGAATAACTCTAAAACTAAAGGGATTAAAAAAAAATCCGTAGTGACAGTTGTCGATCATGCATAAATATAATTAATTATCTAACTTTTGTCCTAATAACCTATAGCATTTCGAGGAAATGTGAAAATTAGAGGTCATTTCGTGATTTTTATCTGTCGAGGAAACTTTATTGTTTTATGTTTCTGATTAATGTCTATGCTTGAATATATCGTGTAGTTACTCATACAATATTTTATTTTTAACTTTAAAGTGGATATACCCCTCTAAAATCAAATCGAAGATTAGGAATTTTTCCTCTGCTCCCTCTTAAAGTCGCGTCATAGTACGAACGGATGAATGAATAGTCATAAAGCGGCCAATAAAACATCATAGTTTTAACATTACAATAAGCTTACTTTAATCTCATTATGGTACGAAAATTCAATGTAAGGTTAAAGTAATATTGTTTTAAGAGGTTGTGGTAGGCCCCCTGCACTCGGATGTTCAATCCCGTAAAATCGAAATGCCTCAGAGGCATTTCCACGGGCCATGCCGTAAAATAAAACCATGTTGACACACTTTCGAGCACTAAATGAATGCACTAATATCAAGGCATTTTCAAAAGTTTCTTAAGTAAGTTTAAAACGTTTAGATGACTACCAAAGCGCATTCATCCACGTAACTTAGTTACGAACTAAAAAATTACAGGCGAGCTTTAAATATCTGCGGGACTTCCGTGCATCTCACAAGCCCCTTTATGAAACCATTAAAACAAAAGGCAGCGCCTCGTTTTCTTAATTCTCTTATCTTAATTTTCTGTATTACAAATTGTATTAAGATAAAACAAAATACTCAGTACTTAAGTTTTTTACTTTTGAATTAATACAGGACGTGCTCGGTGCCACAAACAACCGTTCGCGTCTAATCTCGTCCGCCCACGTGTAGTACAGCTGACATGCGATTTAGTAACAACATTTCAAAACAGATTTCATGAATTTCTCTATGATCCTGAATCTACTTATCTATCAGGTTCCCAGGCATGGCTCCATACAAGAATACACTAGTAACGATGGGAAGAATACGTAGGTATCGTTTTTGTTAAGGGTCTTTTTACATCTTGTATACAGGGTGCTAGATAGATTGCTGCAAACTTTTGAGGTGGCTTTCACTGGCCGGATCATTTCAGCGTATAGTAACATGTTTCGTCGAGAGCACTGCATTCGTATAGTCAGTACAGCGAGCCGAGCCGATCGCCGTGAGCACAGCACGCTCCTGCTCCATTGTAGGTTTTTTCACGAATTCGTTTGAGTGTAACGTACGCCTCGATTTTACTTTAGGTCAGTAAAGCTCGGAGCGTCTGGCGATGTCGTCATGATTTATTTATTCAAAAACCATTTCGACTGCGAATGCGGAGCACCGCCGAGCTCTGAGTTTGAAACAAGCAATACTACTGGTCAGTCAGCTAATGACGTAACGTAACATGCTCGATGCTATAAGATTTTCGGTCGGTCGCCACCTTTAAAGGAGTTGTTTGTTATCGCAAACAGATTAAGGGACAAAATAAAAGTTATTTTATTATGTTATTATATAGATATAACATAAAAGATAAGTAAAAATTCGATTAAAGTGTGTACACGTGAATACAAGTATCATATTTGCGACACCCAGCAACCAATTTGCACGGGTTGCAGTCAACTGTTTACCTAAGAATCTGCACAATCTATTTCCATAGCCTCGTAATGTGAATTAAGCAAGAAATTGACGCCTTTACCATACCGATAAGTCACACCGACCCCATCCAGTGACGAAACCTTGAAAACCATAGATTTCCTTTGTGGGGTACATCACATTGCCTATGGGCCTGATGGATGGTCTAGAATTATAATAACGTCAATGGTATAAACTATTATACGTACAACACCAACAACACAATTAAAAGCATTTTGAATTTTCTGCTATAATAAGTGACAATAGTAATATAATGTAAATGCTACACAGGTCAGCAAAATGCAATTAAAAGTCTGGCCTGTTATTCACTTATTATACTTATGTGCAGTGTTGGGTGTTAATCAATTAAGTTTCAATCAGAAATTCAGATTAAAAAATCAATTCACAATGATTTTAATCCCACACACCAGCTCACCCACCTATTCACCCACACACCAGCTCACCCACCTATTCACCCACCCACTCTCCCATTCACCCACCTACTCACCCACCTCCTCACCCACCCCGTAACCGACCAAATAACCCACCCCCTAATCCACCCCTAACCCACCACCTAACTCACCCCTAACCCCCCAACTCACCCCTAACACCCCCAACTCAAACCCTAACCCCCCAACCCAAATCCTAACACATCCCCTAACCCACGCCCTAACTCACCCCCATATTCCCTATAAATTTATCATAATTGTCAGTTTTAATTGTTAATCAAAAATATTGAAATGATTGAAAATTGATTAATTGTTAATTGTAGATATACGCGATTCACGATTGATCAATCGTTAATTTTTGTTTCGCAATTGACAATTAATTAATTATCAATCTTTAATTGCCAGAACAATTAAATTTTGCCCAACACTGCTTATATGTCAAATTATTTAAGTAACTTGTTTCGTAATAGTGGGAATTTTTACATTTTAAAAGTTGGTATTTTTGTGAGCAAGCTTTTAAGACCCTTTTTAAAAGTTTAAAAAAATCTTTACGTCGTCACGTCTGTTGATATTTTTAGCAAAATTATTAGCAAATACGCGATTAAAAGAGCCTCTATTTGGCTAGCACGACAGGGCGCGACTGGAGCGAGAGCGACATAAACCTTTATGCGAGAATAGCAGTATCTCGCTCTTTATGTCGCTCTCAGTCGCGCCCTGTCGTGCTAGCCCTACTGTTATTTAATAATTATTACAGCAACAGTAATAGATAATATCGACCTATAAGTGATTGCCTCGTATACGCGCAGCAGTGACAAGTCGTTGTGGAGCGTGTACGGGTCAAATTCAGGATATGGCAAGAATAGCAGGACTGTGTACATAATAGTGCCACGGTCCGCGTAGTTCTCGCCACATATCACCGCCAACTCGGACAGAGGAACGCTGAAACAATCAATAATTATGTTTGTTATTTATATGGGAGAATCCCGTTTCCTTGAAGGAATACCACTGAGTAAAAAACGGAATACACATTAACTGACTCCGTGGCCGGACGGTTACCATGCTGGAATGCCACGCAGAGGTCCCGGGTTCGATTCCCGGACCGGGAGAAATATTTGTATGACCTTTATTTATTTCTCTCGTGAGTTTGGGTATAAGATTTCCTTAATGCTGGGCTATGAATGGGTGCTTGTGGTGGTTTTTAGTATTATTATTATTACACATGCGATCCCTCCATTGGAGCCTACGCTACAGGCAGCCATACAGACATACACAGACTAGGGCTTTCAACTTATAACTGCCGTCCTGATAGAATCCTACCCTCTCTTGCGTAGTTAGTTAAAAATATCATCAAAATACGCTAAGTTCAGCGATCCAGCACTTGGTGGACTACAAAAACGTGTCTTTATCTCTGTGCGATCATAAGATTAAATTCACTAATCAATGATCGCGGTCCCGGTTGTAAGATTTGGGGTGGTTTCGTTGAGCTCATTTCAACGAACGTTTCTTTCAGTCCAAACCTGAACTACGAAACGGCATCAGCATAATGTAAAAAATAATAGATTTCCCAATACATCCTAGAATCGCTACTATGATAGTTGAAGCCACTTACTCGAAGAGCGGTTGAGCAATAGTGATGATAACATAATGTGAGAGCAGGCTACCAGTTAAGAAGTGCGCGTACTGTCGCCGTATGCTCACCACGTACGGGTGCTCCAGGATCACTACCCGCGTGCCTTTGTATATCTAAGAACATTATACTCTTTATTATTTTATATGGTAAAAACAATAAACTCATCGAAAGTATTGCGGAACAGCAGACACATATGTGGCCTTCGATCAAATATATAGCCCACGCAATAACCTTTTGTTTATTTTAATGTGTGTAAACCTATTGAGTTGTCTAAGCTAATATTATAACTGTAAAATATGGACTGTAGTTGTCTGAGAATAAATGATTTTTGATTTGATTTTGAATAACACATTATGGTCTCATGTTCAAGGCTTCGATAGCAAGTCAATATATACATACAACTACATGTAATCTAGTGATGTAATAGCCCTCTGCTTCTGCTTCCGTAACTACGAAAGTTCCGCACGCTTTTCTCATCCGTTTCCGTATCAGCTTCCGCAATGTTTATAACGGAACTTTAATCAAAACTTAACGGCGGATCAGGCGGTGTGGCGCGCGATTTTTAGTAGTTTTGTTATAGTGTAATAATTGCACTTAAATTATGAAACCTAAAACAAACGCCGTTGTTTTAGGCTATTTTGTTGATTTCTTTATGGTATTTACACTTCCGCATCTTAGTTTTAGAATTACTTTTGACATCAGGTTGCGTTTCTGTTTGAATTGTCACTTCAGTCGCATCACTAATGCAGTCGAAACCTAACTGCAAACAGCTGCCACCGCGCGCCCAAGCCGGGAGCTCAGGGTATTTATTGATGTGGCATAAAGTGATGCGTAAATTTTAATTGCAGCGTATCACTAAATTCAGACACGTATTTCAATTATTGTGTATTTATAATCCCAAGTGCTGACTTTATAAAGGAAATAAACATATTACATTTAATTTATCAACAAACTCACGTCCGTAATCCCCGACAATACCTTGTTGTGGAAAAAAGAAAAAAAAATAGTTTAAGTTTTGTAGAAATGTGAAATAAACTTTCACCAATCATATTTTGTTTTACCATTACAATGATTAAGCCTCTAGATAATAATTACGTTTTGCCGTTACTGATAAAAAAAAAATATTACAAACGATGAAAATATTCATTTACGTAAAACATTCAATTTGCTTTTGATCGTTTGTCAGATTTTCGTTCTTATTAACTGCAGCCGAAGTTCATCACGATTGTACGCAATAACTACAGACACGCAGTCCATCTGTTAGCTGCCTAATTGGCTATAATTTCGAAAAACAGCACAGTCTTACTTATTAATACTAAATAATTACAGTATTGAGAGCAACAAATTAACTTGTATATACACAAGTTAATTTATTGCTGTACTACCTCTTTACCGATATAGTTTTAACAATATCAAACATACATACAAATATGGTTACATTACAGGTGCATGAAATGAAGCCTAACATATCGAGTACTGAACACGTAACATATTCCGTTTCATAACGAAGTGCATAAATTACCTTTTCGTCATGTACAGATGACTGAATTGAATCATGTAATCAGTGTAATCATAAGATACAGGAGGCAAATAAGACCCACCGTTAATTAAAATAAAACATTTTTACACACAACGAGGCTATCGAGAAAAACACGTTGAATATAAAAGTCTCGTTTATTTAAGTATCTTCACAAATACATAAATTTAAAGAAATATGACGAAACAAATGAAATATTCAATATTTATTAAACTATCGTCTTGGGTCCTATTAGACAATATTGGCGTATTAAGGCCCGCAAAGTAAATAAACTTGCTGAGATAAATAACAGGTTCAAAAGTTTTCAATTTTGCACATATACATACAATTTAGTATCTTCACATAAGAAGAATATACTTATTTTTTTAGAATAAATACAGCTTTGGGCTTCATTAAACTAAAGAAGTGAAAAATATCTTTTTATCTCTCGTCTCTTTGTATTAATAATTATAACAAACTAGTGGAGTAATTTCACAAAAAATAATTGAATATCAATTCAATAAAAATTTAAAATACAGTGAATAGCGACATCTCTCGCCAGGACTAGTAGCTGTAAAGGCACTAACTGGGTGATAAATCTTTCATAGATTTCTCATAGATGGCGCTACGACTAAAAAGTCGTTGAAAAACCAAATACAAAGACACGACACAAGCACATCGAAAAATTCGTTGGGTCCGTTGGTTCGTTCCGTGGCTTAGTTGGTATAGCGTCTGGCACGGTATGCAAGAAGACGTCGGTTCGAATCCGACCGGATCGAAGGAATTTTTTCTGAGTGTTCGATCTTTGTATTAATAATTATAACAAACTAGTGGAGTAATTTCACAAAAAATAATTGAATATCAATTCAATAAAAAATTAAAGTGAAAAATAATCTATTTTATCGGAAAACATAAAGCTAAAAACAAAATAAAACGTTCTCCGTTACAGCTCTATCTACATAAAGTTAGCCTAAAAAATAAATCATATCGTTCATCTTTATTGCTGCAACCGGATTATCTTCGGAGTCCCGCTTTTTCTTAACTAAAAAAGTAAATAATGAAATGAGCTATTTAATGGTACCTATTAAACTCATTGGTGGTAAGAATTACTAAATAGCATTAGAAGTTTTTTTTTTTTAAACTAGGTCATTAAATCTTATACTTAAAATAAGGCCCTTATTACCCACTACAGCAGCGGGCCTTATAAGCTGTAGTCATTGCTGTAGTTCAATTTTTATAAATAACAAACAAATATTTAATGTAAAAATAGATATATAATTACTTTCTTACGTTTCCGTTATAGCTCGATATATTCTGATCACATGAAGTTAGCAAATATTCAGAAGAAACCGTTAAACTTGCTGAAAACTGTGATAATTTATGACAAACAAAATAATACGCAACGCAGCCGCAACGACCCGTAAACACACGGCGACTGAAATGACTTTGCCAGCTAGTTGTATATGTAATTCTATGTGTGCGTGATCTGTTGTACGAATTGGAATATTCTAACATTTTTTAATACTGGGCCTTATTTCCAGCTGGGCCTTATATGTCTCACCTACTTTATGGTATTATACACTTAAATTTCTCGTTAGATTCTCGGAATGGGACGATTAATCGGAATCGCATTCGCATCATCGCATTTCGCAATAGCACTGGAATCGGCATGCTTTACGCACATATCAAAGTTGCAGTTGTTGTTGTTTGTACCATCGATTATTTACAAGGCATCTGCCGCTATGCACATACAGTACGAGGTGAAACTCAAAAAAATAGCGGCAGGGTAAAATGATCCACTAAATTTTTAGAGTGACATATTACACCTTAAGATATAAAAAGCGGTAAATACGCAGTTTATAAAAATGACTGATGCCGAGTATATGAATTTAACCTTTAACATGCACCCATAGTACAAAGAAAAATCAATGTAGGTTGGCAGAGTGGGTTCGTACTTAAGCCGCATTATAATACAATAGAGACGCTGCTACTCATCTCTTGGACTTTTAGCTGCTATTAACAATAGCATTATGTCTAATATAGTCCAATACTCCGTCGGAAAAAACAGCAGTTTAATCCTAAGTACATTTTATTTAAGCAAAGGAAATATGTACCTATCTCGTAGTCCCAATAGACCAAGTGAATAACAAATTAAAATAAAAGGTCCATTGGACGTAGTTAAGCAAAAAGGATCCAATCCACAAAATTATCAAAAAAATTGTTATACACACATCAAAAAAAGTTTGCGATCACTTCGAAAAACTGAAATCTTTTTGTTACTGTAGACTATATTATGATTTTTTCTTCTTTTTAGATTCTTTATTTAAAAATAAATTAGAACATAAAACAATGACCCCGTTCAATTGTTTTTTCATATAAAAAGGCTTTCAGTCCTAGCTTACGCTCATTCATAAATCTGATTTAGTCAATTATAAGCGATTCAAGATATTTTTCGCGGAAAGTTGTGATTGAAAAAATGCCAAGAGGATTATCAGAGGTTTTACGAGCTAGAATAGTAACTTTGAGGGAAGAAGGATACACCACGAGAGTAATAGCACGCAGACTTGCTATATCCCAATCCTGTGTCGTGGCTACGTTGCAGAGGTATCACGGAATGGGGAATTTAGCTGACCGATCCCGCAGCGGTCGCCCAACTGTTTTGACAGCTGCCCAAAAGCGCTATATTAGATTGCTGGCAGCCCGTGATCCAACAATCAACGCCACTAAAATAAAAGCAGAAGTCAGGGCCGCCTCTGGGCTTGAAGTTAGCAGGCAGACCGTTCGCAATTGCTTGCACCAGACTGGATTACGAGCACGGAGGTCTTGGTGAGGTCCGCTCAATTCCCGGCAACGTCAACAACGAAGATTGCAGTGGGCTAGACTTCGGCAAAATGAAGAAGGTAAGGACGAAAACATTTGGCAAAACTGTCTCTTCGTTGACGAATCCCGAATCAGCACTCATCCAGATAACCGACGTGTCGGTGTCTGGAGAAGACCAGGCGACCGTGAAAGACAAAGAACTGCCACTGGAACAGTTCAGCAAGGCGGAAAATCGGTGTCCTTTTGGGGTGGCATTATGATTGGAGCTAGAACGCCTTTGATCCCGTATCGGGGCTTCATGACAGCAGACATGTACAAAGCAGTTGCTATTGATGATATCGTCAGACCATTCCGAGTAAACCATGGGCACCAATTTGTACTGGTCGATGATAATGCGCCCGCACATCGAGCTCAACGAGTCAATGCTGCTCTTCAAGAATACGATATCACACGATTAGACTGGCCTGCCGGCTCGCCCGACGTAAACCCAATAGAGCACGCGTGGGATGCTCTTAAACGAGCAGTATGGAACCGTGAGCCACGTCCCCAGACAGTTCCAGGGCTCAGGGAAGCCGCTATTGAAGAATGGGATAGGTTACCCCAGGAAATGCTGGATAACATGATCCTCAGCATGTCCAGGAGGATCTTCGCATGTATTCGAGCCAGGGGAGGAGTTATTTTATATTGAATTCACACCTTTTAATAATAAATTTTTGTTTAAGTTTAATTAAACAGTCTTTTTCTTTCTATGAAATTTCTATCACTATTACATTATGATTAATGACTCAATTTTTTAAAATAAATAATAAAAAATAGTTTTATATTTTAATTTCAAACAGGGTACCTATTCCTATTTAAAGAAAGCATACAACATAGATTTTTTCTTGATAAAGTTAAATTTAAAGAATTATAGGAGCTTATGCTATTGATCGCAAACTTTTTTTGATGTGTGTATGTACCAAAGGTTTCCTGAAGTCTAACCTCTTAGATCAGCAAAACAATCCAACATATAAACATAAATAAATATCTCTGAAGTTACATGACATTATAAGTTGTGAAAGTAAAACGTGTGTGAGAAACACATTTAAACTTCAAACTGCCGTATCTCGAAAGTGAGCGGATGTGGATTGGATCCTTTGTGTTTAACTACGTGCAATTGTAAAATAATCAACTATACCTACGAATGAATGAATGAGTGAAATATTCTTTATTGCATATAAAATGACAGTTAAAATACAATACAATAGCTTAAGTATACTTAATAGTAGTAGCAAGTTAATATGCGACAGGCGACCTTATTGCTATGTAGCAATTTCTTCCAGGCAATATTAGGATAGCCATTTGGGGTATGTAAAAGGGGTGCAACAGTAGAATATCATCATAAGTACACTATATAATATTTAATAAAAAATATATGTACACACATAGATTTTTTATTATATCAAGTGACGGAACGAACAAGTCGTGCGCCTGACTATAAGCTACACGCCTGTCAATAACAGGTGTAGTGTCACTCAGAGCTTTAAATCGCTGAGATCTGAGAGGAACTGCCACTGCGCCCGTCACCCTGAGACATAAGTTATCAAGTCCCATATGCCTGTAATTTCACCAAAATATAAAGATAGATAAACATATATATACAAATAATATTAATACACACATAACAATAAATAAATAATAATATTAAATACTTAAATATACTTCAAAGGAAAATGCAAAATGAAGTATAAACATAGGAAATAAATAAAAGGATAGTAGAGGACAGACGAAACTTAGGAGTAGAGGAAGTGATCCTTGACACATTGTTTGAAGGAATCAAGATAAAGAGATCGTCGAATGGACTCAGGGAGAGAATCCCACAATCTGATCGCAGAAACAGTAAGTTCAGAGTTGGAATAAAAGTTACAGGTACGAGAGGATGTTTAGTACGAGAGTATCAGAAGAACGAAGGGTACGGCAGACTGTAAAAGAGTGGAAAGTAAAGCGATCTTTAAGACAAGAAGGCGTAAAGGGATACAAAAGAATTGAGTGAAGAAGGGAATGATAATTATGAAGATGTCTACCCCGGTGGATGGGCTATACCTGTATGTACTTTCATACGTAAGTACACGCACACAATTAAAGTCGAAAAACACAATACCTTTCTATTGAGCATAGGCACATAGCCCAGAAAGTTATTGGTGTTCTCATTATCCATAGGGTTCTGCATCTCAGATTCATCAAGGCTCATGTTTAACACAGGCGTATAATCACATACATATTCCGATACACCAAAAACCACTGCAACAATAAATACACTAACCACAGAATTGAAGGTAGACACAGAACAAAATAAGTAATAGTTCTGTGGACTATGGAGATATCGAGTAAAAATGAAAATTAGTAGTAGTAGTAACTTACACAAAATATATGAAAATAGAAGCATATTTCTATTAATCACGACGTCAAGTATATAAGACTACCGCTACTGCACAGGACGTACAACAAATCTATTGGGCTAAGCTTTGTTTTCTTTTTTCAATTTTATTCGAAAGTCCGCTTATCACAACAGGTTAAACAAACGAAATAATGCAAAGAAACGCTATGACTATGAAGGTTAACTGGTTACAAACATATCAAACTTTATTTTAAATAGAACAAAAAGATTGTGAAGTCACCATTCGCCACACATAGAAAACGTTGTTGTACAATCAATAGCACATCAAGCTATACTTTTGTTCGTTTTTCGCCTTCAGTACAACGATCCGTAAATCTGTAGCTTGTACAACGCATTTAATTCTTTTTTAGCATGTTACTGACGTGATGGACTACGTTCACAGGATATAGCAGCAAATCACCTAATTTAATGTCATGTAACTCTTCCCGTACAAAATCATAATTATAAAAAATTTATTCAATTTTGTAAGTACGTCTGCCTTCAACAATTTCCTATTAATTTATATATTATTATTAATATAGTTACTAGAGTTAGTAAATTTATGCGAAGTTAAAATTTTACGTTGTTGATGTAAATAAAATCTATTGTGTACTTACTTTAAGCGGTGATTAGGTAACGGCAACTACACTACGGTAACTAACACAGAATTGGTGAACCTATTTTAACAACACGCATAGCCGTTGTTTATTTCTTCCTTCCGTTCAATATACTAATACATTAAAATATTTAAATGGTAGTTTGCAATGACGGCAAACCGCTGTTGCCGCGGGCAAAGCACCCAAACATGTCAAAGCAACGCGTGGCTTTGAAGGAGTCAGAGATAACGAAATTATTATTTCATTTATCAAAGAAGGGAACTAACAAACTCAACGGGATTAGTCGTTGTTACTAAAACAATTCAGGAAAGACATGACAAGACCTTGGTTTGTTACCCCTGCCAGCCTTATACATATGTATATGAATAAATAAATAATAAATATTAGACAACATCACATACATTATTGCTCCAGTCCCAAAGTCAGTAAGTAAATTTAAAGCACTTGTGCTATGGAAATCGGAAACATCAATGGTACCACAAACACTCAGACCCGAGACAATACAGAAAATTTCATTTTGAACCGGCCAAGGATCGAACCTGGGACCTCAGAGATGTCGATACCATTGAAAACCGTTGTGTAAGCCACTCGACCACAGAGGTCGTCATAGACAATACAGGGTTATTTTTAAAATACTAAACTCGCAGAACTATATTGCTTACTAACACATCATAAACAACGATTACTTTTGTTGAAATTCTCACAGGACATTGGCGAAATCGCCATTTTTTTTTTGTATAATTTTTATAATAATATTAAACTACCGTACATAGTTATTTTTACTTGACATTGGCAAAATCATTGATTATTTCGATGGAGCCATAACATTTAAAAGAAGAAGATCATAAACAACAACTTTTGTTCCACGACTTTTCACAAATATATATAAAAATCTAATAAATAATAGATTGACCAATAATCAACTTTTACGTTTTTCTTGTAATATCTGACACTGCTTTTTCGTTTCGTCCACCAGGATCCCCTAGCCCAATCCTCCTTCCTTCCTCCTTGAGATCCATAGTTCATCAGAATCCCCCGAACGCGAATACATAACGTTAAGCCCATAGATTTAGTATATAATATACTAAATCTATGGTTAAGTTTAAGTATATAATATACTAAATCTATGGTTAAGCCCCAGTTCCACTATAGTACCTTATAACAACGTAAGATATATAAGTATTTGGTAGGAAGTTAAATATTCAGATTCCAAACTCGCGCGCCGCGTCAAATATAAAAAAAATTTTGGTGGCAGGTTTTATTTTCGCCAGGAGTTCGCCGCGTGTCGCGTCTATTGGAATTACATTTTCATTAAATTTATTAATACGAAATGATCTTTTACAATATTAAGTGCAGATAAATAAGGTATTAACTAGCACATCTCCTCATATTGATAAATTATAATATGTATTCACTTGATAAATGCTTAGGTTCACAACTGAATCCACATTAACGAGGATGGCTACATTTAAAAATAAAACAACTATAAATCGTTTGTATCTACTTACATAATTTGAGGACAACTCTCGGTATACGTCTACGACTGCTGGATCTAGGCTGGAATTACACGTGATCTCGTAATCGCTGTGTGGCGGCTAATATTGTTAATACGGCTTAGCGTAGGTACGTTAGGGAACCCCCCCGAAGGGGTTCCCGCCTTGTCGTGGCGGGGGGGCTCTAGTAGCCGTGGTCGATTTCATCCCACGGTGAAGCTAAGAGGAACCCACGGGGCCGGCCGATGGTGGTAGGCTGGCCCGAGGAGGAGGGCGTTCCGCGCGGGCTCGTCTGTGCACCGGGACCGCGCGGATGCGCGAGGAGGAGGGTCGCGGGGGGAGAGACGTGTCGGTGTGTCGTTGCCGCTCGTCCTGTCCTCCGCGACCCTGGCGGGGCTGCACCGCTTTTAATGATGCAGTGGCGGCGGGGCCGCGGGGGAAGAGACGTGTCGGTGTGTCGTTGCCGCTCGTCCTATCCACCGCGGCCGAACGTGGGCGGTTGGCCCGTGGTGGGCGCTCCAAGGGACTCTCTTCGGAGAGTCCGCGCGGAAGCGCGTTAGGTGTTGCGGCGGAGCCTGTCATCAGATCCGCCGCGGGGGCTGGGGGAGCAGCCACTGAACTTCACAGTTGAGTGGATGCTGTCCTGGCCCCCCATGGCCCCTGGGTAGCGGACTCGGGGGAGTTCGTTGCCCAGCATAAAGGGGCCCGGGATGGAAGGCTCGTCTGGTGTTCGGCGAGCCTCACATTCGGAGTCGGGGGACCGATGTGTCTCCCTTCTCGAGGAGGGGCTGCGCAGGGCGCGGCCAGCCGCTGGTGGGGGCGCGGACGAGTGCAACAGCGTACCCGTACCCCCACCTACAGCGGAGGGGAGGAACACTCCGGGGGTTTAGTGCGGTCGGGCTGCTCCCCTTCAGGGTTCAGCCCAGTCCCACATAACCCCGGCTCTGCCCCCGCGGGGCCGGGGTATCTGTAAGCAGATTCCCTCGGAATATTAAAAAAAAAAAAAAAAAGGTACGTTAGGGAATCGTCTCTGTGTGTTGATTTGCATTCTCGCCATATTTAAGAAATTAATAATAGAAATAATGCTAATCATCTAAAAATATTAAAAAAAATATTCTGTTCCACGCTAGCGTGCAAAAAACGTCTTTGCGCGCAGATTTTTAATGAGAAAAAAGCCTTTCCAAGCTAATGAGGTGAAAAAGTTTTTTGTAACTTAGATTTGGTACTTACCAACTTTAGGTTACATGAAAGTATTGCTAGAAGTACCTAGCTCTGCAGCTGGGGGATAGCTCGGTACCGGAGCCACCACTACTACCACCACGGAGGAACCACTCCCACAGAGATTCGCACGTGAGTTTCGTTACAACACTACACTCCACAACTTTGAAAGCAAACTTCGACACTCGTATCCTCCGCGTAAACTAAACGTTTCACATCATGCCATAAGAATAGACACGCCTTTGTACTTGATGGATTACCATGCAGGTTCTGGTGAACCTGGTAGCGGTTCTTTTTTGCACTACTAACTCTTGTTTACATACCAAACCACGTGGCATTTCGTGACAGACTAGAATAGAATGTATGTGGGATGTGAGCGTGACGTAGACACAGTACGGAAAGCAAGGTCGACTGATTTACCAATCGTGCCCTCGATACGACGCTCCCCCGCCGTCGCTACCCGCACTCCACTACCAAATAGATCTAAAATCGCAGAATCTTAAAAAAAATCTTAAATGCGCAGAAACAAGTAAGGGTTTACTTGTTTCTGCGCATTTAAGGTCATTGTTCAAAATGTTTGCAATTGCCGTGCAAGCCTTTGGATCAAATTTGTTTACCGCAATGAAATAAAAAATAGGAATTTGCAAAATTATTTTCGATTAATTTTTTCAGTGATTTGGATTCAGTTTCGGACATAGAATGACCTCTGTAAATATGGCGAGAATGCAAATCAACACATTGTATTCGCGGCAGACTTCCAACACATTATCATCACAGCAAACAAATTTTCACAATATTCCCGTGTGTTTACTTAATATTCGAGTATCAAGATTCGCAATGCATCGTATACGCATTACTGAAATATCAAGTTACAAACAAAAAGACATGGCCAACCAAAAACCATTTGGATTTTTTACCAAAAATATGAACATCAATCCTCGAAATTACAGAAATTCTAACAGACTAGATACTCTTTTATGAAGTACCCAAGATGGAAAAATATAATTAAAACGTTTGTGTATTTGAATTAGAATAAGAGTACCTCAAATGACATTATACACAATACTTCATTCTTTTATTTCATTTATATCTCTCCTATTTAAGTATATAAAGAATCTAGAAACCCTTGCCTTGAAAAGTTATCTTTTTGCAGGTATGACGTTATTACACCAAGATGTATGGTTCGTGGATGTTGATCCAGCACCTGCTTATGGCTCGGTACTAAGTTCGTTTTAATTTTCTAATACATATTGTAGTATTAGAGATTTTTTCAATAAGTTATTATTATACATATAAAAGAATTTAAATTGATTTTAGTACTTGTGACTATTACTTTTTAACTGCCTCTGTGGCCGAACGGTTACGAAGCTAGACTGCCACGCTGAGGTCCCGGGTTCGGTTCACGGGCCGGAAGAAATATTTGTATGGCCTACATTTATTTCTCTCGTGAGTTTGGGTGTTGTCTATGCGTGTGTCCATACACCCGCGATACAGGGTTTCCGTAGTGCGGGGCTAAAAAGAATTAAATTACTAAATTAAAAAACCACCTAATATTAAATACAGAAACAAGCTCGAGCAATGCGGACAAAAAAGAGAAAACCAGCACTAAAAGTATGGATTAACTCGTCAGTCGTCTATTAAGCTTATTAATATAAGCTATTAAGCTACTTCAAAAGAAGATACACAAAAAGCCAATTTTAAAAACGTCAAGCGGATCAGTATTACGGTATAAATTTGTAACGGTATTAGACAGTTGCTACGCGACGAACCTACTGCGACCATAGATTTAGTATATTTTTTTATTTTATTCTACGCTCGTCGGCACGCTCGCAAATATACAAATAATGATGCCATGGAATAACTTTTCCCTCAAAAGTGGGGATTGGTATATTGCTCAACTCATCATTAAGTTAAAGGTACCTACCTGCAGATATGTTCGATGTTGTCGATCGTTACTATTTTGTCGATCGTTACTATTTCGTCGATCGTTACTGTCGATCGACAATGTCAAGTGACAAGAATTTTCAAAAATTTATTTTTGGTATTAATTTTTTAATATAAATTTATTTTTGGTATTAATGGCTTTATATCTGAATACACGTTAGCGGACACGACTTTTCAAATAAATGCAATGTGGGAATCATTTTCGAGGTAATCGAGGTGGTCATTACGAATATGGCACTAATTTCTAAATCTAAAATTGCGGGCACGGTTTTTCGAATAATGGCAAGTTGGGTATCGTTTTCAAGGTATATGGGGTGATCATTACGAATATAGCATTTATTTCTAAATCCAAGACGGCGGACACGAGTTTTCAAATAAATGCAATATATGGGTATTATTTTCGAGGTATTTGGGGGTGCTCATTACGAATATAGCACTTATTTGTAAATACAAGATGGCAAACACGATTTAAAAAAAAATGCAATATGGGTATTCTTTTCGAGGTATTTGGGGATTCTCAATACGATGCCACTCATTTCTAAGTCCAAGATGGCGGGCACGATTTTTCAAAAAAATGCAATATGGGTATCCTTGTCGAAGTATTTGGGGATGCTCAATACGAATATGGCACTAAATCCATGATAGCAGGCACGATATTTCGAATAATGACAAGTTGGGCATCGTTTTCGACGTATTTGGGGGTGCTCATTGCGAATATGGCACTCATTTCTAAATTCAAGATGGCGGACACCATTTTTCAAAATAATGTAATATGGGTATAATTTTCGAGATATTTGGGGATGCTCAATACGAATATGGCACTCATTTCTAAATCCAAGATTGCGGACACGATTTTTCGAATTATGGCAAGTTGGGTATCATTTTCGAGGTATTTGAGGGTGCTCATCATCGACAATGTTGATCGTATCTGTAGGCACCTTATGATCTTTTGAGTCTGGGCATGACGTTTTTTTAAAATGAGTGTATGATGAACAAGAATAATGTTTGGTTATAATTATTAATACAAAGATCGAACACTCAGAAAAAACTAACTTCGATCCGGCCGGATTCGAACCGACGTCGGTTTGAATCCGGCCGGATCGAAGAAATTTTTTCTGAGTGTTAGAAGTGGAGTAATTTCACAAAAAATATTTGAATATCAATTCAATAAAAATTTAAAGAATAATGATTTTTCACAAGAAACTAATGAAGGCAATACTAAATATATTTAGTAAAAATAGCTAACGTAAATTCTCTATAATGTCGTCGCGGTGGTGTACATTTGTAGAAATTCTGCAACCATCGCGATATTGTCTATTCTCAAAAAATTACGTAATATAATTATTTTGAAACAAAATAGCAAAATGGGGAGAAAAAACCCGTTGCTTTGCAACATTTTCGTAGCTTGTTGCAACGAAATTAATTTTCTGTTTTAGTGAATATTTACATAAAAATATAAGTTGAAACTCGTTACCTCCTTGTGGAATGTGATGTTAGTACCTATTGTATGTTGTCTGACGTATTTTTACACTCATTTTCCACACATTTCGTAATTTTTAGCAAAAATTCTTGAGTTGACCTTGAGCACTGACGGCCCGCCCGCTCGCGTAGGCCCATTGGGAGCCCTACATTTTGCCTCAGTTAGCGTTTGCGGACTAGGTTTCTATACGTTATTATTCTAAGCATACAAATACATTTATTTCACATCTTCATAAAAGTGATATAATAATAAAAGCAGACAATTAAAAAAATGGTAAGAACGTCCGCTTGTAGATGCAACCGGTGTGCATTGAAAATCACTTAGTACTAGATACCTTGGTAGTTGCTTTGACGCTGTAAACTACAAATAAATACGGTTAATAAAAATCTAGAGACATTTCTCATGAGAGGAGCGAGAGAAAACTCATCTGTCAAGAGAGTCTAGAATAATATTATCATATTTAAGTTTAGCGAAATTTTTCCTAAAGCAAGAAGCTCTTTTTACGGTTACGTAAAAACTTCTAAATTTATTATGGTTATTTTCACTGAATAAGCTCTGGGCTTGAGTCTTTTGAGAGATAGAAGTGTTACGAGCAATTTGATAAACCGGGCATTATGAATATGGACCGATTATTATGAATAATGACCAAGAGTATCGACCAAATTAATACATTTATTACTTTGTAGTCCCTTTGATAAATAAGGCTTAAGATGGCGTATAACTTGGACCGGCCTGGATGAATGATCCCCTACTTCACGAGCAATAACTTAACCTAGCCTAATCAAAACATTACATATCATTTGTTACATTACTTTGACAAAGACAAGGTGGTTATTATTCATACTGACCGGAAAAAGTTACCAATCATGCAGTCTTTATTATATACCCGTTTAATACGGGCACTATTGGTACGGATCGACCATTATTCATAGTAACCGGGCTTATCAAAACTCTCATAACATAAATACGAGCAAATAACTCGAAATCATGATTGATGAATGTTCGAATTTTTATTAATAGATACAGAATTATACACAAGCTCTCAGAAATCTTAAGGTATTACGTCCACAACGAACAAATAAATTCTGTAGTAACTTATCGATACACTTGCTTTCTATACCAACATTATTATATTATCTTTTAGCGGGTGTTAAATAATAATTTGGGTAAATCCCTATAAACGACCGCATAACATTGAGAGCAATCATTATTGTTAATCTTAATTTGGATTGGTGTAGTTTTATGTCCACCTTTTGGTTCCAGTCAGTTTTGATCGCCTCTGTACTCGAATTTCGTTGGAGGCGTAGAATGACACAGCTATTGACGGATTGTACAGTGTTTTAATCACGAGCCAAGGTAGTAGGGCTCAAATCTCCGGAGCTAGGCGTAGCGATGTTGACGCAGGCCCTGACCGGCCACGCCGAAGATCGCGCCCGCTCCATCAGACCTAGACAAGAGGCGGCACTATCTGCAGTCAGCGCGGCCGTGGTAACGGTCTTCAGCGAGTGAACTGATATCACCTAGTCGAAACAAAAAATATATAATTACACTTAATATGGAAAAACAATACTTTCCTATGAATACCTATTTATTCTATATATCTAACTTGAACGCAAAACTGCATAAAAACTTGAAACCTGATTACAATTGAAAATTGCCGAGCCATCCACCATTAAATCACGAAAACCTTTTTCCTAGGCGAAAGTAGCCACTAGCGAATTCCAGAGTATCTAGACGTATTAATACAGTAAAGGTGAAAAGTAAAACAATGGTACGTCCATTTTAAGGTTTTCATATGCAAAACTGGTAAGGTAAGATACTCCCGAATTACAAAAGTTAATGCCAAATTTAATAGTTTAATATCGTAAGAGACAACGTGATTCGAACATACACTTTACGCCCAACCATTTCATAGACAGTAACGGCGTTTACCATAATAAAACGGGGTACCCCGTTTCACCATATGAATCTCAAAAAAGCAATTACGGGCTTTGCTGTGCGATTTCTAAGTGCTTTGTGTGTTGTTACCGCCTACTGCTATTCCATGGACAAGTATCAACAACGTACTTATAAAATTCAATGATTTACATACACTGAACATTTTATATTGAATCAACATAAGCTCTACAGCACGAAAAGTACTACAACATTGTTGTGTACGGTACTATTTAAGTACTGTCCATGAAAGGTATGTGATAGTTCCTTCAACACGCGAGGTTATTTGTGAAAATGTGGTGTGTTGTAACATTTCCAATTCACAGAAATAAAAAATTACGTATCACAGTTTCTCGCATAAACGTGTCTCTTCTTTGTTTTAATACAAGTACTTTCTCCACGAGCTCGTATTACTTCAGTAAGACAAAGCGACACGATGTTAACAAAATGTCAAAATTTGCTCATTTTTCACTAACGTACTTCTTATCTAGTGTAAGGTAGCTGGATTTCGTCGCGTCACCCGAGCTTATCCCAAGCATGCTCTATAAGATTTAAGTCTGAGCTACAGATGCAGGTGAGAGTAATACTGACATCCCGAATAAGCGCGTTCGTGCACAAGAATGGAAACTGCGAGAATATGCACTACAAGGACTCAACATGATCATTTCAAAGTTCTCTACATATCTACGAGCAGCCAGAGTAGAATTTTCTGTGACCACTAACTCCGTACGATTTTCTAAAATATTCCAGCCCACACCGTTATCGATCCTCTATCAAATGATACATTTTCTCCTAAAAGCGCGTGTTGATACTGTGCGTCTATATACTCTTACTCTCCCATCCTGTATAAGTAAACAAAATCTTGACTCGTTGGAAGACCTAAGATCAATCGTCTTCGAAACCGTAATTTGGCAACTATTTTTCCCAGTAATAGTTAACACAGTATCGTGCCAAAGCCTGAAATTGTTCTCTCGAATTTCTGAGAGTCTGTTTCGGACCTGAACAGCCGTGAGATGTCAGATATATTCGTGCCATTTCCTGGTCGTATTCATGGGGATTTTTTTAAACTGCTGGAGTACTCTTCAAAATATAGACAACGGTACTCCTACTGTTCTAGCAGTATAAAGTTAACATATTATGTATCATAGTAATGATTGTGTTTGTACCTCAGGTGAAAGTAACATGGCGCTGTATTGAGTACCGTGATCTAGCCAATAAGTTCTGATATCTTAATTTGAAATATATTATAATCCTCTTTTGAGGATTATAATACCCATTACTGATCTATTTATAACAAACTGTATATGCGAGCGATTTATATCTACAACTTCGGGAGACATCGCGTTTACCTCAGTGACTCATTACTTTTGAAACTCAGTCTCATTACCTTAGAGCGGTGATGTAGCAAAGGACGGCTTTCAGACGACGATGCATCTGCCTCCATATTTCTTGAATGGTATCCTAAGGACATCCGGAGAAAAATGAGCATCGACACGGTCAGCATAGCTGAGTATACAAAATATTCTGTGGCCTAGGAAAAGAAAATTAAAATACAATGTTATATGAATTTAATAATTCATGTATTTACTAACGAATTATGCGATAACCTACACTTAAACAAGGTGTAACAAAAAGGTGTAGTCATATTTAAATGTTATATTTAGTTAATAGTATGAGACACATATACGTTGCGACTTTACTTCCCGCTTTGTCAATTACGGAAATTCCATTTCAGTCAGCACACACAGACACACGCAACTGCCCTAAGCCATTGAATTTGCAACAAAAAAATGAACGAATTAAACGTACATTCTATTTAATGTAGGTGTTCAATAGTGTAGTGTACTGATGATCATATCAATGATAAAATAAAATGTAGGGTAGGAATAACTTTTGCATGAATGAACTACACACATCAAAAGTGTCTAGGGATCAAGTACGTTTAAGAGTATTGCTGCAATTAGGGTTAATTATATTAACTTTTTTGTATCGCTATTGATACTTTTTAGTGAGTTTTAACATTTAAATAAGGAATATTGTTTAAAATTCGATAATAAGAAGAAAATCGATTGTCAATGTGGTTTTGTATAAAAATGAGTTATAGCGTTTTGACAAAATCATTACAATATCTGCATCGGAACCGAAACAATTAACATTATTATGGAGAGACGACATAATTTAACCCGAGAAGTGATGATGCGAGCCGTCGGAATGTTGGAAGCTGGTTCCAGGCAACGTGCTGTGGCTTTCACTCTTAACACTACACAGAGCGTCATAAATCGCCCCTGGACGCGCTATCGCATGACGGGCAGCGTGGCCGAGCGACATCGTCCGAGATCGTCCTTCTCGCATCACGACTCGCAGACAGGACCGGTATATCCAAAATACTGCTCGACGGAATCGTACCATGACCGCCATGATGTTGGTTACGAGGCTCCACAGCTCCTCAGGCTTGCTAATAAGCGATCAAACAATCCGAAATCGTTTACGTGAAGTGGGTCTGCGATCCCGAAGGCCGCTCAGAGTTCCACCTATTGCACCCTGCAATCGCAGGACCCGTTTACGATGGGCTCGCGAACACAGAAACTGGGAGGAAGAAGACTGGCGCTATGTGTGCTTTTCGGATGAATCTCGCTTCGGTATGAGACCGGATACAAGACGTACTCGAGTTTGGAGAACATCTGGACGTCATGAACGTTTGAGATATTGTCAGGAAGTTCATCCATATGGTGGGGGAACAATAATGATATGGGCCGGTATTTGGATCGGCGGAAGAACCGATCTCATTTGGATCAGGGGTAACCTCGATGCTCAAGTTTACGCAGAGAGGATTGTTTCAGATGTTATCATCCCTTTGCGAGGCCAGTTGGGTGATTCATTTCAACTAATGCATGACAACGCACGTCCACACACGGCTAGAGTCGTAACACGCATACTTGCCGAAGCTCGTATCAACGTTCTGCCGTGGCCTGCTCAATCGCCAGACCTCAATCTAATTGAGCACGCATGAGATATGCTTCAAAGAAGAGCTGTGCCGAGTATGCATACCGTACATACTCTACAACAATATTTTGACTTGTTACAAAACACATGGGCGGCCATTCCTCAAAGTGATTTTGATGAACTCATCTTAAGCATGCCAAATCGCTGTAATTGTGTGACCGTGTTAATGGTGGAAATACAGATTATTAATTTTCTTATCTTTACAATAAAAATGAGCAAAATCATCATTTTCGCCATTTTTTTGTAATTTCATTGACGCCGTTAATTTGAGTTTCTTCCCACAATTTGCAAAAACATCAATTTTAGTTTATTTTAATTAAATATAGGGGTAAGCGGTTAAATAAAACATAAGCATTAAAGTAAGAAGTCGTCCTGGAAGACTGGATTTGGTAAATATTGCTTAAATAATTTTTATTTCAAAAATATTCACTTGATCCCTAGACACTTTTGATGTGTGTATATTCTATTAACTTAACTGCCTCCGTGGCCGAACCGGTTACTGTTAGCGCCTCCTTGGATGCTGTGGCTGCTGGCTACGATGGCTTGACGTTTAATATTATTGATTTTATTTTGTTCAAAAAAAAAAGTCATATTTTCATTTTTTGATTGTTATAAAGAATTCTTAAAGAAAAACCTTCTGATTTACACTAATAATGGAGTCTTATTTATCGGCGTTAACAATTTGGTGACCCCGACGTAATATTTTAAAGCTATACAAAAGCTAACACCAATAGTATAACCAATAATATAAAAGCAAAATAGCATACGAGCACATAGATGAGAGTTGAAGTGGGAATTGCAGAAAATATCTCTGGAATGTTCGAAAATAATTGATTTTAATTTTCGTATATACATTTAATCTGGCTCTATTTTTATTTTAAAGGAAATTTCACAAGTTTCGAGTGTAAGCCGGTGAGCATAAGGATTGCTACCTATGGGATAAAGTATCGCCGTTTACCCGAAAATCGTATGTTCGTTGTTATGATTATTACATTCGTCCGTGTGATATTGTTCAAGTGGGTGTATATTCAGTTCCCTCCGCTTCAAAATTTGTTAAACCTTGTTTAGATTCGTTTTGTTTGAAGTGAAATTTATGTCCAATGTTGAATATCAGTTTTTTGCATCTAACTACATAGTTCAAAACAGTGGCAAATTGCTGGATTTAGTGTAATTACGAAATTCATTCCAAAAATAAAAACTACGGTTGGTGTTATTGTGAGTGTTCGACGCGAACGCGTAAGCGACGTGGATTCCACGGCGCTTAAGTCCTTTCGCGCGCGACGGCCGCTTGTTGTCGCTGCATCGGACGTATTTCCAGAAGTTCTTTTTTAGTACGACCCCCAATATCACTTAATAAACGCAATGCCTAGGATAAAGCGAACACCTCCATCAACGCCCAATGTAAATACTACAACTGAACCTAGCCTGGCTTCAACAGCTACCTCAATAGAGGCGCAGACTGGTGTTACCATAAGGTCGAAAAGACCTCAACTCAACGACGACGCCATTCCTTCGAAGAGTGAGCTTGATGAAATTAAATCCATGCTTCAAACTATTATTCAGAATCAAGAACAAAAATTTTCCCAGGTAACAAAAGAAATCGCAGAATTGAAGCGGCAAAATTCGGAAATCCAAAAGACAAATATAGACATCCAGAACTGGATGGAATTTAGCAATAAAGCTTATGAAGAAATGAAAACGAAAATAATATCATTAGAGAAACAAAGAAAAGATGATCTAGTCCATATTTCCGTACTGGAACAAAAGGTTAAGGACTTAGAAATTATGTCGCGGCCCTCAATTCTTGAATTGAGAAATATTCCCGGCAAAGACAAGGAGACGGCGAACGATTTGATCTCGATAGTATGCAGTATCAGCAGTACAATTGGTGCTGAAATCTCGCAGTCTGACTTGCGGGATACCTACAGAATCCCTAGTAAACCAAATACTCCCAAAACGATCATTGCTGACTTCACTTCCGTCCAAAAAAGAGACTCTTTTCTGATTGCAGCCAAAAACTTCAATAAAGCTAAATCTCCAGACAGTAAATTGAACTCCGAAGTTATTGGTTTCCCTGGAAAAAAGCTCCCTGTTTATATTTCCGAATATCTGCCTCCCTCCATGAAAAAACTTTTCTATTTGGCGAGGCAGTTCTCACAGCAAAATGATTACCACTACTGCTGGACAGCCAACGGGAAGATATTTCTAAGAAAGGAAAATGGTGGCGAGTGTTTTCGTATCTTATCTGAAAAATGTTTTACAAAATTACCTGTCAAGAATTAGCTTACTAACTATATGTTACAATTGGCCTTACAGACGCACAACGCTAATCAAATTCGATAACTTTACGACCTATTTATCTATTACTACTTATGTATCTATTACTACCTATTTATCTATTATAACTACTTTTTACATACACATTTTATTCTACTCCACTCGGTTTAATAAAACTCAAATAGTTCCTTCAACCAATCCATTCTCGCTTCCAGACATGCTTTTTGCTGTCTTAGAGCTCCATTTTTGTGTTTGCTTTCCAACTGCAAATGGCTAATACAACTAACAAAATTGTCTCAAATGAGCTGGACGCTCTTAATGTAGCTGAAGTGTTCACGTGCCTACCTGAAGAATGTCTTAAATTTATAGATCCCTCCAAGTATTCCCTAAAAATAATTCATCAAAATATCCGCAGCATCAATAAAAATATAGATCAATTTGTAGTCATGCTAGAAATCACAAAAATAAATTACGATGTCATAATACTATCAGAATGCTGGTTAAGTAAATTATCAAATTTACCGGAACTGACTGGATATTTATCCTGCAAATCGCTAAATAACCGTAACCAAAATAACGGCGTTGTAGTATATTTTAAACGTCACCTTGATCTCACTTTTACATGCCCAAACTTTTCTGAGGCTAACTGCGTGTTACTTAAAAATGACAATCTAGCTATACTTGCAATATATAGATCACCTGCCAACAAATGTTTAAATGGATTCTTCTGTGACTTAAACAATTCGCTTTCCACTCTAAAGTCCTCTCGTAATGTCTTGCTAATCGGTGACATAAATATCGATATCTCTTCGGCTAATACCGATTTAAATAAGGAAAAGTATCTTAACCTGATTTCTAGCCACGGTTTGTTGCCTACATTCGATACCCCAACTAGAATAAGTTCATGTCTTGACCATGCTCTTCTAAAATCTAATTACAAAGCTACAGTATTACTTCTGGAATGTAATGTAACCGACCATTTTCCTGTGATAACATGCTTAAACCTAGATAGAATTCATGTAAAGCCAAATCAGTCCTTTTCCCAAACTGACTTTGTGTCCTTGAGGGCGGAAATCATGGCTATGGATTTTTCAACGGTGTTACTCTGTGATAACGCTGACCATGCTGCCGACCTTCTCGTGAATAGCATTGCGCCAGTTCTGACAAAACACACTAAAGTACTACGTGTACCTAAAAGGAAGGTTATCTTTAAGCCATGGATCACCCCTGGTTTATTAAGATGCATCCGTCACAGGGATAAACTCTATAAACGATCCAAAGTAAACCCCGATGACTACACCCTTAAGCGGATTTATACCCGTTACAGAAACTTCTGTAATAGACTTCTACGGAAATTAAAAAGGGAATACGAACGCGAGGAGCTTGAGAAGGCCAAGAACAATCCCAAAGCCACCTGGAATGCTCTAAAAAGAATTGCCAATCTGAACTCCCCTTCTTCCCCAGTATTGGATTTACTTACTTCCAAAGGTAATCCAGTGGGTGCAATTGATGGTATCAACGAATTCTTTGCCAATGTAGGCAAACGCTTAGCTGACAAAATTATTAATTCACATCATCCCAGAGCGTTGACTAAGCCTATTCAGTACACCCCTTGTAATTCCTTGGCAATGCTGGAGGTGTGTGAATCGGAAGTAGCGAGCATTATCACCAATTTACGCGGTAGTTGTGCGGTGGGTTGGGACGGGATCTCCTCAAAACTATTGAAAGCCTGCGCCCCTGTGCTCGTTCCCGCTATCACCCACATCTGTAATCTCGCTATTGTAACCGGTGTTTTCCCTAAATCCTTCAAAACCGCATTGGTTCATCCGATTTACAAAAATGGCCCCACTAATGAGGTTAACAACTATAGGCCAATATCTATTTTAACTAGTATGTCGAAGGTCTTAGAGAAAATAATTAACAAGCAACTTACAAAATTTTTGGACAAATTTCGAGTAATCTCTAATAACCAATTTGGCTTTACTTCTGGAGTTTCGACAGAGGATGCAGTTCTTAGCCTAACCAATCATGTGGTTGAAAATCTTGAAAATAAATCTAAATGTATAGGCATATTCCTGGATCTCTCTAAGGCCTTCGACACCGTCTCAATCCCCAGTCTACTGCAAAAACTAGAAGCTATTGGTATCAGAGGCATCTCACTAAAACTGTTTACAAGTTATCTCACAAACCGCACCCAAAAAACAAGAATTGACAAATATATTAGTGATGAGCTTCCAATAACTTTTGGTGTCCCTCAAGGAAGTATCTTGGCCCCAACCCTCTTCAAAATCTATATTAACGAACTCTGTCAGCTGCCGATCCCCTTCGGCAAAACCATATCATATGCGGATGACACAGTATTAGTTGTCACTGGACCCAACTGGTCTATTGCCAAATCTTATGCAGAGCAGGCTTTGCGAACTGCTTTGGATTGGTTGGACAACAATTTACTAACTGTAAATATTGAGAAGACCAAATACATCCCCTTCTCATTGAGGAACTCATCCGCTCCACCTCATAACTTCACCATTACGGCTCATAGTTGTCCCACACCTACTATCTCATGTCAATGTATGAACCTCACTAGAGCCGATCATATTAAATATCTGGGTGTACATATTGACTCAGCACTGCGTTGGCACCTTCATGTTGATAACCTGTGTTCGCGCGTCAGGAAACTAATATTTGTCATGAGTAAGCTTCGCAACTCTGCCGAGCGCAACACTTTACTAATTGTATATCAGGCTCTCTGCAAAACATTGATATCCTACTGCATACCGGTTTGGGGCGGTGCCCATAAAACATCCCTACTAAAACTAGAAAGAGCTCAAAGAGCAGTCCTCAAGACTATGCTATCCAGACCATTCAGATACCCTACTACCCAATTATACCAGGAAAGCAACGTTCTAACAGTGAGACAGCTTTTTGTGCTCCAAATAACGGTACGTCACCATTCCTCTGTCCCCCGCGCTGAATATCACTGCTCCACCAGGAGAAGGAAACCGGCATGTACGACAGCAATTGTTCGATCTACATTTGCAAGTCAACAATATACATGTATAAGCGCATTTTTATATAACAAAATAGATAAATTGATGAAATTAGCTCATCTCAACAAATATGAGCTTAAAAAGAAACTAATTACATGGTTGTCTAAACTAGACTATGACTCAACTGAGGAATTATTAAACCGAGAATCACTACAATGCATATATCTGATAGATAAATGAATAAAATACATGTATTACATATAATACATATACATATTATATAATACACTTATAATATTTAATTTCATTTGTACACACTTTCACCACAAGATTACAAATCCACACACATCAATAAGTTAAGTTTACAAATCTCAATAAGTTTAAAAAAATTTATTTATATCCTGTTCATTATTCCTTGTATAACGTGTTACATTTCTTTTTTCTATTATTGTTGTTGTTGTCCTATTCTTATAGGAGGTCTCTAATTAAGCACACGGAGAATCACTGACTCTCATGTCACAGGTTGTCCTACTTTGAGAGTCAGGGACCACGTTTTGAAGTTTTCTTGACCTATTCTTAGTAATAAGTGTTTATGTAAACTTGGTTCTTGAAATAAAAATACATATTATTATTATTATTATTATTATTATTATTATTTATTACGTGAAGTCTACGTAAAGTACGGAGATTGGGATCATTACTGTAAGTGTTGAATTTCTTGTCACTTTTATTTAAAGTAATTTAAGTGTATAAGTTGGTTTAAATAGTTACCGTGCTCGCCCTTACAAAATGTCAGATTTAAGCGATCTCAAACGTAAAAGAGGGACGATTAGAACTCGTTTAACCCTATTTAAAAAGGTTCTTTCGCTCCAACAAGGAGCGAAAGAAACCAACACAAGTGTCAATTAATGAATGTGTATTGAGATTATTTAAAACCGAACAGTGCTTTAATCTCTTTGAGGAGGTTCAATCTAATATAGAATTACAGGATAACTCTGAAGATGAAGTAAATCAACGAGAGGTCACAGAAAACGAATTTTCTAGTGTGATTGCTCAAGCACGAGAATTTATTGGCGCCTTCAAGGATGACCACCACCAGGGTGACGAATTCCTCAGTCAAAAGCCGCCAGCGCGGGGGCTCTAAAAATATTAAACTGCTACAACTGAAACTTCATCCCTTTGATGGAAAGACAGATAAATGGTTGGAACTTAGGAATCTGTCTTTAATCCATAATAACAAGGATCTTGATAACATATGTAAATTTCATTACCTTAAGTCATACCTTGTAGGTGATGCAAGTGTTATGATTAAATCTGTGTCCGTCTCAGCTGAGCCTTATCCTATCGCATGGTCACTTCTGCGCGAAGGATACGATAACAAGCGTTTGTTGATTAATCAACATTTCAAATGTTTGTTCGGTATTGAGCCCTTGTCGAAGGAAAGTGATAAAGGCAGTTAATCAATAGACAACGTATCTATAAAACTTGCAGGCCCTCAAATCTCTTGGTGAAGACACCGAGAGGTGGGACACTTTAATTATATTTATGGCTTCGTCAAAACTTGACAATGCCACGGCTAGGAGATGGGCGGAGTTCAGAAGTGACATCACTTCTCCGTCATTACAGGACTTTTATAAATTTGGGCTGATGTTTTAGAAACGGTGTCTTCTGCTATATATAGTTTATTAAAAACAAAATCATTTATAGCTTCAAAAACTGTTGAGCTGCCGTCGGCACCCTCTGGTTACGAATGCAAGTCCAGCAATAAATGTCATAAATTAATTGAATGTCCCAAGTTTAAATCCTTGTCTGTGGATAAGCGCTACATACAAGTAAGCCAGTGGAAATTGTGTAAAAATTGTTTACGCGCGGGCCATCTAACATATCAGTGTCGTGCCAATGGTTGTAGGATCTGTAAAAGAAGACACAGTACACTATTACATAAACAAATACTCAACCAGCAACAAAGTGGAGAGGAAGCAGCTGTTGTTTCAACTAAGAATAACCAGTGTTCGTATACGTTACCATCTCCTTCATCTTCAAAAATTGCTGTTCAACCTGAAACGTCGATTTTATCAAACACTACTGTCACTATAACAGCCGTAGATTCTGATAAAGTTTTGCTTTCCACTGCGCTTGTCAAGGTGACATATAATGGTAATAAGTACGTCCTGCGCGCATTGTTAGACAGAGGCAGTCAGTCCTCATTTATTAATGAAAGAGCTAATCAAAGAATCGGCTGTAATACGATTAAAGTAAATTCGTTTTGTTTCGGGTATTAATAATACACTATTGAAAGAGATGCGTCTTGTGATTTGATATTAAATTCACTGCACACCTCCTTCACTGGTACTATCAAGTGTTATATAGTTCCGACGGTAACCTATAAATTTCCTTCTAGGAAGGTGCAAACACAATTAAATATACCAAATAATTTATCCCTAGCGGACCTAAAGTTTCACTCTCCGGGAGAAGTGGTTTTACTGCTAGGCTCAGACAAATTAGGTACCTAGTTGGGTCCAATCAGGTTAAGCTGGGTAAAAATAAACCAGTCCTGACAGAAACAAAGCTAGGATGGACAGTGGCTGGCCCTACGGGGGGGAGGCCCAAGACTCTACGAGGTCTCAAAATATTCGCTGTAACTTTTCTCAGGACATTAAAGAGCAACTATCAAAATTCTGGGAACTTAGTACAAAAGCTGTTACCTCATTGAAGGATAATTATTGTGAGAAGCTCTTTATCTTTATCTTTATTTACTCTACCTACCGTAATAGTGAAGGGAGATATGTTGTGAGGATCCCTTTTCGAGAATCGCCAGATGCCCTAGGTGATTCGTACAAAATAGCGGAAAAAAGATTGCTTAGTATTGAAAGGAGAATGTCTAAGAATGCTAAACTTAGACAAGGCTATTCTGATTTTATTAAAGAATATGAGAATCGTGGGCATTTGACTGAAGTCTCGGAGGCTGAATTAGGTAGTCAGTTTCTGCCACATCATGCGGTACTAAGAGAACAAAGTGAAACTACCAAACTACGAGTTGTTTTTGACGCGTCTGCCACAATAACATCAGGAAAGTCATTGAACGATATACAGTATGTTGGGCCTGTAGTGCAAGACGACTTGCTGTCTATATTATTAAGGTTCAGGCAGCATAAATATATAGTTATAGCGGATATACAGAAGATGTATAGGCCGATTCTAGCTGAGCCCAGCCAACGCAAATGTCAACAGATTCTTTGGAGAGACCAAGAGTCTGAAAATATACGCAATCAACTTTGGCCCGTAAACGGTAGAAATTTAGCTAGGAGCACCGTGAATAAGTGGAAAATATAAATCCTATTAAAACTTACCTTTGTCTAGGGTATCGCCGAGCCTACCGTTTATTGTTTGTGGCGTTGACTTTGCAGGACCTTTTCTAACCACAGACCGCGAAGAATGCGGTTGTAAGATTACAAAGGCTTACTTAGCTCTTTTCTTTTTCTCGACAAGGGCTTTACACCTTGAACTGGTGAGTGGTCTTTCAGCGGACGCCTTTATCCAATGTCTCCGGCGATTTATTTCTCGTCGTGGGTATCCTTCCGAGAACACTGTGTTAACGGCACAAATTTTGCAGGTGCGAGCTATGAACTTTCTACCTTTCTTAAATCTAGTAACGATTCTATAGCTTATTTTGCGGCTAACGAGGGCATTAAATTCGAGTTTTCGCCGGCTTATTCTCCACACTTTGATGGAATTTGGGAAGCCGAGGTTTAGTCTGCGAAGTTTCATTTCGCTAGGGTCCTAGGGAACACATATATGACGATCGAAGAGTTATCGACTCCGCTTACGCAAATAGAAGCTATTTAAAATTCAAGACCTATCACGTCTTTATCAACTGATCCCAACGATCTCGAGGCATTGACGCTAGGACACTTTTTGATAGGCCGACCTTTAATTTCCATACCATCTCCAAATGTACATGATATGAATCCAAATTGACTAAGCCGATACCAGTACATAGAGCAAATGCGGCAGCAATTCTGGGCACTTTGGCATAAAGAGTATCTTGCTGAGATACAGCAAAGAAGTAAATGGCAAGTGGATAAAGAGGGTCTTAACATCAACGATATCGTCATGATTAAGGAAACGAATGTTCCGCCAATGAAGTGGCGTCCGAGACGTATACAGAAGCTCTATCCAGGAGTGGATAATATTACAAGAGTGGTGGACACCTTTACAGGACGAGGCACCATACGGCGAGTAGCGCGGAGGCTATGTGCCTTACCCAAATCTGAAGCAGCCATTTTTATTCTCGAGGCTCTTCCTCCTCGAGGAGGGGCAGTATGTTAGCGCCTCCTTGGACGCTGTGGCTGCTGGCTAGGATGGCTTGACGTTTATTATTATTGATTTTATTTTGTTAAAAAAAAGTCATATTTTTATTTTCTGATTGTTGTAAAGGATTCTTAAAGAAAAACCTTCTGATTTACACTAATAATGGAGTCTTATTTATCGGCGTTAACAGTTACCATGCCGGACTGACACGCAGAGGTCCCAGGTTCGATTCCCGGGCCGGGAAAAATAGCTGTATGGCCTACAATTATTTCTCTCGTGAGTTTGGGTGTAATTTGTGGTTGTCTATGTGTCCATAGCACCCGCGACCCAGGGTTTCCCTAGTGCGGGCTATGTTGAGTGTGTGCGTTATTTATTTATTTATTCTATTAATTACCGAGAAAGTCTGAATCAAGTACATGCTTGGATCCTTCAATATGACTACGCCTTTCAGTGTAAACCATTTATTAAAAGGTTAAAAATATGGAATAGTCATTAGTATACAAATCCTTCAATAAATTAAAAACAAAACATACATTATGTGTAAATGCCATGCGAAGTGCATATTGACAGCGAAAAATATAAGTTATTTATTGTTGTAGTGTACATGTAAAAGAGACATTTTTTCATTACTTAAACACATTGCGGCTATTTTATTACAAATAGACAAAAATATTTATACGTACTCTAGATTCAAATATTTTGGTTTGCGCAACTAAGATCACAATTAGATTTCCAAATGCAACGGACACGTACCACGCGGCAATCGTAACGGTTTTCATACTCTTCGGAGCCTGTAAAGCACTTAGGATGTGAACATGAAGTAAAACAATTAGTGTTTGCTTATTTAATTTACGTGACACATAAAGGGAAAATTTAATATTTAAAATTATAATGAACTCTGCGACTTTATGAACGACGCCGGAGGCAAAATCCTCTATGGATCTCTAAGCTAGGGAAATGAAAGGTTGCAACCCTAACAAGCCGTGACTAAGTTCACGGCAGTAAAACAGAAAACTTCAGGTCCACAAATTTATTTAAAGTCGGTTAAAGAGAAGAAAAGGTAACAAAGAAGGCTGCAACAATAAAAACTATATATAGAAAACAGGTACATTATTACAAGACACTCCCTAACCTGATGGATATAAAAAATATTAAGTAGACAGAGACACTTACCCCAAAAGGGCCGAGTTATACTGAATTACAGATACGTATTCATAAGTACATGATAAGACTGTAGTGGTTATAAACTTACTAAAATTGGCACATGATTTAGATTTACTAATGATTATAAACTTCGAATCAAAATTAGACGCGATTGAATTTTAACCAGCTCCGTACGCTGTCACGATCGAGCAGGGAGTGACGGTGGAACGAAACAAAATCAGAATGCGAGGCAAAAGAGCTACGAAACAATTCAAAATTTAAATTTAAATACGAGTGGCCAGGAACCGTAGAAGGGCGATAAAAAGGTCGGATGACGATGTAAGGAGGTCTACACCGCCACAGAAAAAGTACATATTTAAGTAGGTATGTAAAAATTTACCTGTGTGAATGCAAATTCTAAGCCGGAGACAGCAAACATGATCTCGGCAATTGAGATGAGCAGATACTGCGGCACGATCCAGGCCAGATGGAGCTCGTTGGGGGGGTTGGGCGCGTGCAGCACAGCTGCATCAAGCCGACCCAAGCGCTCGCGCACACACAACACGTACACTCCCCCCATGCGGACTAACCCTTCACCCGAACCGCTCACCTCACCGTCAGCGCTATCTACACGCCACTTAAATCTGCACCAATTGCAATGCTTTGTAGTAGATAAGTTGGAGAACGGTAACTAGAGCGGTCGACAGCTCGAATCCCTGTGGCAAGATGTACATCCCTAGTATTTACGAGTTTAATTTCTAAGTTACATACATTTGTAAATATTTAGTAATTCATAATCACTACCATTCCAAAACCAAACCCATGGTGGTAGTGGTGGTTATTGTTGAGGTGGTGGTGGTTACGATGGTTATAATGGTTCCGATGATGATAATGCACACGACTCAAAATAGACCGGTGATGCCGAAGCCACCGTTTAGTCGACGACGTCACCATTCAGACGTCGTCGGTACTGTACGAACCCGATTGGAAGTACGGTCATCAGAATTGAGTGCCCCCCTTTTAGACACGGACTATGAAAGTAGCAGAGTTGACCAGGTCCTTGCAAAAGAAGTCCGTTATCTGCCCAGGATGCTGCAAGAGGCCATTGGAATTAAAAAACATCCCAATTGAAATAGGGAAGATTTCTCCGTACCACCATTTTTTGATCCAGTATTTTCTCCGATGAAAAACCCAAGTAGACAACACTGCAGCAGTAAATTAATATGTTTTAATTTATTCTAATTATTATTAATAATTACTAATAAAATTTAATTAACAAATTATTTATATTGTTAAATAAAATAATATGTAAAACATAATATTAATTTATGTAGTGTAAATTGGAATGCTGAAAATTTATAAAAAATGTAACAATAGTGAAAAACCACCCTGGTTTGCATTAATATCAGTCATAATTGGTTGATGACTTTACCATCACAGTCACCCGTGACCATAGGACCGTAAAGGGCCCGACGCGTAGTTTGTTTGAAAAAACAAATACGTGAGGCGCACTATAAGTTTCCGGAATGAATAAGAAAAAAATACTATAAATGGTCAGAAATGAATTTATTGTTTCTCAAACTATTCTCCGTTAGCAGTAAATGCATTAACCACTTTTTCATACGAATGAACCAATTTTGAAAACATTTCCGCCAGTTCTCCGTAACAATCTCTGAAACATATTTTCATACTCTTCGACAATACCTTCAGGTAATGAAAAGCGTTGACCGCGTAACTGGTTCTTAATTTTTGGAAATAAATAAAAGTCACAAGGTCGGGACTGTACGCGGGATGGCTCATAAGGTCAACGTTGTTCACCTTCAAAAATTCATTTGTCTGTCTGGCCGTGTGAGAACTGGCATTATCGTGGTACAAGATGATATGGCGTTTACGGTTATTTTTACGGAGTTTGTCAATAACTTCCTGCAAACAAAAGGTCGTGTACCAATCGCTATTCAGGGTACAACTATTACACAGCAACGGTAGCCACGTGTCCGGTTTTGTTAAAAAAAGAAGCAATCATCAGAGGCACTTTGCACGCGCTCCACTTTGTTTTAGGATCGTAACTATAAATCTATGTCCCACACCAAATTTGACGCCCCTTCGTAGAATCTGGGAAGCATGGCATAGCACCAAGTGACGCGATCCGTTTTTTGAGCCTCAGTCAAATTGTGTAGAATCCACCGAGAGCACAGCTTTTTCACGTCCAAATGTTTGTGTAGTATTGATTGTATTTCACTCATGCCTATGCCTAAAGATGCCCGAATCTCATGGTATGTCACATGCCTGGCTGTTTTGATCATACGGCGCACAGCAACGATGTTTTTGTTGTTCACAGCAGTGGACGGGCGATCATCACGAAATTCGTCATTGAGATTCGCACGACCGCGTTTGAATTCTGCAAACCAGCTATAAATAGTCGTCTCGCGTAGTGCTTCATCGCCAAAAGCAGTTTGAAGCCGAACGAAGCTCCGCTGAGCTGTTAAATTACACTTAAAGTCAAACTACGAAAATTTTTACGAGTTAAATCCATGGTGATGAAGACAACCAATTTCTAGAATGACAGTCAGATGAAACAAACTGTATTCTGCAGCCAAAGAGTTTCATTTTCAAATTTTGTAATTACTTCTTAAATTTTGTTTGTGTAAGTGGCCAGTGCAGGAATCTTATAGTGCGCCCTATGTATACGCGATTTAGACCCGAAAAAATAGTTTCATTTCCTAGTGTTCAATGTGTTAGATAACTTGTGTAAAATTAAAAAAGTAAATATAGAATGGTAAATAGGTAGGTGTCACAATTAGTCACTATTGCCTATATAATCTCCGTTACATGGGATCTGGCCTGAGTAATACACAGTTTTACTTGCCATGAATATTATTCTAGAGGCACAGAACTCTTACCTGCCAGGCTGGAGGGACATGAAAGTCGATTCGCCTATAAAATCCACAGGTGAGTTGGACACATAATAAGTATCAGACAGTCTCTTATCAGTCTCTACGGTAATAGACACGTTCTTGTCAGGCCCTGTCTCACCAACGTACACCACCCTGAGATTATTAATTAGACTTTCATTAGATTAATTGGTATACAGATATTTCAGTGGAAACCGGTTATAAATAGACATGAGTTGCGAAACGTAGCGCAAAGTAGAGAAGTTACTGTATCAATTCGTATTCATTTCCCGCTGAGTACAGAATCTCTTGTAATTGGAAGATGGGATTTTGATAGTCAAATTCGCGTTTGTCAGCATTGGAATTATGTGAAACTGAATTGAAGACCTTTTTATTACCTACTGTGATTGAATTTTCCTGACAAAATGTGAAGGTTTCAAATAACATATTCTTGATGCACATGTAAACTCAGCGTGAATCTGAGCTTTAAAACCTTCTAAAAGCATGTAAGTATTTGATAAAAACCAACCTTATTGTTTCTCGCAGTTCTCGATCTTCCTATACAGGAATATATTTTTGCGTATTTTATTTCAGGTTGACAACATTTGGCAATAATTTCACGTGGTATAACAACGTTTGATATAATTTATAAGAATAAATACTAAAAATAATAATCACTCATTGAATATAATCAATGTCAAAGTCAAAGTCAAAGATCATTTATTCCAAGTAAAATAAATTTACATTTCAAAACGTCACATTTACATTACATTAAGCTATTACTCATTCACTACGCTGATTTCCCTGAGAAGAAAGAGCAAGAAACTCTAGGGATTGCTCTTTTCAAATAAACTTAAATGCTATGGAATAACACTTTGAATCAAATTTGTGTGGATTCTGGAGCCGTGTCGTCTTTCCGTACCTCTTTATCTAACACGTATTATTCAATTTTGTAATATGACTTTTCAATCAAAATATTTTTAATGTAGTTTTTAAACTTATGAAATGATAATCTTATTATAAAATATGCTCCGGAATCTTATTGTAAAAACGTATGCAGTTCCCCCTAAAAGAGTCATTTACCTTGGTTAAACGAGATCGTAGTACCATGAGTTTGGACTTAGCTCTAAGGTTAATATTATGGATATCTTCTTCCTTGTTATTGAAATTATGTATATTTTTACGGGCATATAAAATATTTGAGTAAATGTACTGTGATGCCACAGTCATGATACCAGTCTCCTTAAACTTTTCTCTGAGAGAAACCCGAGAGCCTAGACGGTACACAGAACGAATCGCTCGTTTTTGCAATACAAATATGGTTAGAATATCTGCCGCTTTACCCCACATGAGAAACCCGTAGGAGATTATACTATGGAAGTAACTAAAGTAAACTAGTATAGCAATACAAACATTGGTAAGCTCACGTATTCTGCGGACTGCTTAAGCAGCGGAACTTAATCTGCTGGCCAGGGAAGATATCATGTGGAAACCACTGAAGTTTACTATCTAAGGTCACTCCCAAGAAGATTGCTTTATTAACAAGGTCTAACTTTTCTCCGTTTATTTTTATGCTTGGACTAGTCGATTTTACGTTAGGTAATTCAAATTTAATACATTTTATCTTCTTTGCATTACGCAATAAATTGTTAGCATTAAACCAATAAACTACCTTAGAGAGGGTATTAATATGGTCATAGTTACTGTCATATCTGTCTGTTTTAAAAATCAAGGATGTGTCGTCAGCAAACAATACTATGTCGCAATGGTCCTTAGCAAAAAATGGCAAATCGTTAATATAAATAGAAATAAGAAAGGTCCAAGTATTGAGCCCTGCGGATCACCCATTTATACCAGTGAACCCTAAGTAATCACTCCATGTATGTCTACTTTCTATATTCTACCGTTGAGATATGACGAGACAAGTTCCGACACCTTGCCATTTACACAGTAATATTAGCTCCAAAGAATATCCGCCATAAAAAAGTTATTGTTAGCATTTTATGCAGAAGTAAAAAAATGAAATCTCGCTCGAGATGTCGCTCAGAGTGGATGTGTTGACTCGTTTAAATTGAAATTTTAAATTGTGTATTTGAAGCAAAGTACTCCCAAAATCCTTTATTCTAAATTCGTTGTAAGTGCTATAAAAGTGTCATAAAAATCGTCATAGTTCTGAGTTGCCACACACAACAGTGCAATTCTGGTGCAATACGCCTCTCTTCGGATAAAAATGACGGGTTCTAATAATTCATCTTACACTATATTCGACAACAGTAGACAAAAATGAATGTCTAACATTTTCCACCATATGGATCGAATACACATACTATAATAAACTATATATCGAACTTCTACTAGTGGAGGATCCTTAAAAGATTTAAGGGGGCTTTCTATGCTGGAAACACAAAACCACTATTCGTAGCAAAAGAAAGCAACCAGATGATATTTTTCTTCAAAATTCGACAGATTCAAAGCCGAAATCATGTCAATTTTATAAACTGTGCTACAGACTCAAATAATTTGAACATAATCACTGAGAATGTATCACTTATCAGGGATCAGATTGCTCAAATTAAAACTAAAACAGATCAACTTGTAGCTGAACAAAAGAAAGTAAAACAAGAACTTTAAAATATATCAACCTTCAAAATTGATACACAACAAAAACTTATGTCTCTGGCGGCTGCTGTTGATACACTTAAGGCCACTGCAGTCACTACTTCAGTTTCGCCGCCAGTACTTGCGTGCAAAAACTTGATGGTTGAAATCTATGACAGAATCTAGAGAGAAAAATGTTGTTATTAGCGGTATAAATGAAATTAATAACAAAGTATCTGAAGAGAGGCGCAGCTATGATAAAAAAGAAGTAAGCAATCTAATTAACCAAAATGTCTCCAATTGCGCCGAGCCTACTAAAATCATTCTGTTGGGAAAGTGCTGTGACGACAAATCCAGACCACTAAAAGCTTGTTTTGCAACGCCGGATACATTACATGTCAATTTAGCGTAATAAAGTCAATTTTAAAGGAGAAGGAGACACATTACACACTTATGTTACTCAACATAAGTAGCTGTAATATGCTTAATGTAGCTAAGACGAACTTTTATGATATTCACAGTCAAAAACAAAAATCTCATAATTTGATGTTCCAACTTTAACTATTAACAACGAAGCTATAAATAGAGTGGACTCTGAAAAATATTTAGGTCTTATATAGGATTGCAGTTTAACATGAAAACATTAAGACGGAAAAATTCGGAAAAAATATTATCTCTCATGGGTCTCAAATATTATCCTCTATTGCAGGTATGGGCAACCTTTAACATGTTGAGGGCCAAACTTTAGTATGCAAATTGGTTCGCGGGCCGCGTTTAAAAGTGCTTAGTGCATTTTAAAGTAATTAGTGTCAATAGATGTCAGACATAAAATAATATCACAATGTAATTCTAGTACTAGTACAATTTATTTAAAAAATGAAATTTTAAAAAATGGTACAACATCATATCGGTAAATCGATAAATTTGCAATTGCTACAAACTACGAAAGTCAATCAATGAGACACTTGAGCTTGAATTTGGGAAACTAATCCATCGATATTTGGATTAATTCCACTGATACAAACACGTAAAGAATTTTCCAAATTATCGTCAGTCAGTCTTGTACGATGTGTTGATTTATTAATTTTCATCATCGAAAAGAACTGTTCGCATTTATAAGTACTGCCAAAAGCACAAATCAATCGTCTTGCGAATTTTCTAAACTGCGGAAAATTGTCTTCTTCTAGGTATTTTTTGTAGAAATCGCACAACTCTACTTCTTCAAATTTAGATTTTAGGAGTGAGTTTTCTTGAATTTCGATCAACTCCAATTGTAAGTGTATTGGAGCATTTTGTACATTACTTTTTGTTGGATTTGCAAATAAACTGAAACAGTCATCCATGTTTTAGAAATCGCTAAATCTGTTCGAAAATTGTTCCGACAGTAACTTGAGTTCTTCAGCATATTGAGCATAAGCAATATTTTCATACGTAGAGAGCGTGTTGAAATGGTAACTATTACCAGATAGCATCTGTGACTCCCACAAGCGCAGTTTGACCTGAAATGCTTTCAAATGGCTGTACAAATCATTTACTAACTGTCCTTGTTTTTGTAGTTTCAAATTTAAATCATTCAAATAGCCTGTTAGATCGACCAGAAATGCTAAGTCACATATCAATTTTGGGTCACTCAATTCAGATAGTGGTTTCTCTTTTATTTTCATAAAGTCTGCTATCTCATTTCTAAGCTCGTAAAACCGTTTCAACATTTTTCCTTTGCTCAGCCATCTGACTTCACAATAATATGTTACGTCGTTATATTCAGCGGATATTTCATCCAAGAACCCCTTGAACTGACGATGGTTAAGCCCTCGAGATCGAATAAAATTGGTGGTTTTTACTACCACATCCATAACATGCTGGAGTCGAATGGACTTAGAACACAAGTTCTGTTGGTGGATAATGCAATGAAGGACTATCAAATCATCTTTTTGCACATTTAATGCTGTTGCTTTTTCATTTAAAATTCCGATGAAACCTTTACGTAAGCCGACCATAGAAGGTGCACCATCAGTGCATACTCCCTTTATTTTTGACCATGGCAAGCCAAATCTTGTGAATACCTTTTGAACTTCATTAAAAATATCCTCCCCTGTAGTGGTTCCTTTTAGCGGCTGTAAAGCAAGCAATTCCTCAGTAACAGTGAACTCCTTATCAACACCTCGAATAAATATAGCCAGTTGAGCTATGTCCGACAAATCCGTGCTCTCGTCTAATGCTATGGAAAATTATTCAAAACCAGCCATACGGTCAGTCAATGTTGTTTTTATATCATTAGCCATCATTTCTAAACGTCGAACAACGGTTCGTCTTGACAAACTAATTTTTTCAAATTCATTTTTTTTTTCAGGACACAAAACACTGCAAACTTCTAACATACACTCCTTAATAAATTCTCCTTCGGCAAATGGTTTTAATGCCTTTGCCAATTTTGAGCTAACTATAAAACTAGCTTTCACAACATTATCAAGTTGTGTTCTTTGTTTATGAAACATTTGTTGCTGTTTCTCCAAATTTGCTGTAAGCTTCTGGATTTTGTCTGTTCTTAATTGTCCTGTCAGTGAGTGTAGCGCAGTATGCTTAGTTAAGTAATGCCTCTTTATATTGAATTCTTTCATTACTGAAATGGATTCATTACACAGCAAACAAATAGGCTTACCATTGTGCAAAATAAAAAAGAATTCTTCAGTCCATTTTTCTTGAAACTGGCGTCACTCTGTATCTACTTTTCGTTTTTTTCCACCAGACATCATTTTTGTTAACTTTTCGTTCTTTAAACTTAGTAACAATACAAACTATAGTTAGTACACAACCACTCAAGATGCACACAAAGTTCAAGGCTCAAACAGTTCGCTAGAATATCGCTTGTCGAAGTTATCACCTCGGTAGCTCGAATAGAACTGCACAAATGTTCGGGCCATACACCCGCTTATATAGTAAAATGAAGGAATATTCTGGAATAAACTAGTTTTAGAATAATTGAGAAGCAATAAGTCTTTGATGTTTGCCGCCCGTGAGGCGTCGCCGTCGGACAAAGACTTTGATCGAATAAGCCGAGTGGCGGCGATTATCAAAGAGTGAGGCGGCAAACATCAAAGGATTAGATGTTTGGGGCTTCACTGTCGCTGTGAGTGTAAATACCTAGTTTAATATTTTTTCATTGAGTTTTTTTTTTCTAAATGTCTCGCGGGCCGGATTATATGTTACAGCGGGCCGTTGCCCATATGTGCTCTATAGCATAACTAGATGTTTTCCGTGAAGTGTCTGTTGTGTAATATATTCATTGATCAAATCACACTTTGACCACCTTATCGAATGAAATTCTGCTTCCAAAATACATTTAAAAACATTACAATCGGTACAAAATAAAATTATAAAACAACTTTTCCATGACCATTATCTGAGCATAACCTTACACTCACCAGCATACAAGATTAATGACTGTTTCAAACACATGCGTATTGAATATAAAAAATTAAAAAAAGTTCACTCGCAAATAAATTTTACTAAAAAAAAACTACATATTATTACCAAAAGCGTATAACCAGGCGTACTAATGATATAATATATATTTGCAAATATCGCAAACGAATTATGGAAAAAAAACATATACGAAGGAGCTCAAATATACAACAACAATCACCGAAATAAATTAAGGGAAATACTTTTAATTCTTTTTGAATAATTTGAATTATTATTCCAAGAAAGAAGGAGAAGGAATTAAAAGTCCACATTGTGAGGAATTTCTTGCAGTTTTCATGTTTTTATTTCTATGTTATCGCTATTAAAAAGTCACCATGGCAATTGATGCACAATACTTGATTAGGGCCTTGGTTTTGTTTTTTCTTAATAAACTAGAAAACGAAATTTTATCTATATGAATATTTTGTCGATATGTACTTTCTGTGGAAATTTTACGTCTTGTCTAGTAATTAAATCTTGTATTTCTCGCTAAGTGAATTTGTATTATTTTGAGAAATAAATTTAACATCTTAAGCCATAAATGTCGTCCACTACGTCTGGAGATTGTATCGCGGCCATCTTGAATTATTACACGATAATTCGTTTAGAATTTCGAAGCCGCTACTTTGACCACCATATTAACGCGATAACTTTTTAGCAACCAAAACATACGAAGCGTCGCGGCACGCATTGCTTCGTGACGATAGACACAAGTGCGACCTCAGCATACAGACAGTTCTGATTATCTATTTAGTCAGGTAATTTAGTAAGGTAATATAACTTTATTGGAACTATACTATAACTGGTTACTAGAACTACAACAAGGTTTATTTGTGTAGTTTATTATTAGAAAGGGTGTAGTCTCCATTGGATTACAATTTAGGTGTATTCTATACAAATATTGTGGGTAAAGCATAGGTAGATAATCGATCCCGGTACCCTACCGGCAAAGGCAGTGGACTGAAATTGAATGTAAATTAAGAAAATTTTAACGATCATGAAGTAGAACTCTCTAGAAAAGCCTAGCCTCCCTCACAATAGGGTTAGGATGTATTGTCTAAATAATTTAACCTCACATTTAACAAGTACATGTTAGTTATGTATGCCTGATAATATTTTCGGAACTAGAAATGCAAACTCAATTGATTGTTCTGTTCTATGCCTTAATGAATCAATAGTTATTTGTTATGCAAGGCTGCCAAGTTGTTGTTTAATGCGAGTGCTTGTATTGAAACCTGAGCAAGTAGAGGAAGCTAAGATTGAACCACGAACGAAGCGAGTGGTTCAAAAATAGATTCCTAAGCGTAGCGAGGGATTCAAGCCACGAGACATAAAACAACTTTGCTGCCGAGTAAAACACACAACTTTTCACCTCACTATAGCGTGGAAAATGGTAGATGAAAGAAAAAAAGTTGAACATCACTTTTTGTTTATCTTCGGATGCGTTCTGAATTTACACCTAATCAATTTTTATTCTTGCTTGTACTTTTTATTTTGCGTGATTAAGTGATCACACTTTGATTATTGAAATTATTTTAGTTCTTCGACGAATTAAAATAATTTAATAAACACAATTAGTTGTCATTGTTAATTTAAAGTCAACAATAATAAGAATAAAATATAGCAATGGATTTATATTACTTAAATAGGTAATGTACGACTAATCGCGTAGTTGAACGTGTCATTATCTTTTTGTTCATCGAAAGAAAAAGTTACGTGCACCACAGTCCACCGTCAAGTTCGAATTCCAAAAACCTTTTCCACGCTAGCGTGCAAAAAACGCTTTTGCACGCAGATTTCTAATGAGAAAGAAGGCCTTTCCAAGCTAGTGAGGTAAAAAAGTATTTTTAACATTTTGGGGAAAAAGAATTATTATAATTTTTTATTTAAAAAAATGTTATTAATATAGAGGACTTAGTTAATTCACTCATTTGATGTATGTACATTTCCAACTGCTTTCAAATTTCAGTTTCCATCTTAACTGCCACAGAATTTCATTATAATAAGGTTGATTTTTATCACATTTGTTCGTCATTTTCTCAGTAATTTAAGGTTTTATACAAATTGGTAAACATTAAACCTAAGGTCAAAAGCAAAATTGAAAGTTCCATTTCAGGATGACTATCGACGGGATTTACTCACTTTAATTTTGGTTTCCCGGTCAATGACTTCGTAAACGTGTTTGGGTCCATAAAATAAAATTCTATTTGGTCATTTGAATTCTGTCCTATTATAATTGGCATAAACTGTAAAAATACGAATTATATCTTATATCACCAGAAGATGATGGAGTAACAAATATCACGACAAACGACAATTCTCTTCGCTTATAAAAAGACATCTAAGACACAAATAATTATTTTGAAATCAATTGAAAATAAAAAATTATATTAGGTCCTTACATATGAAATTGGCGTTTTGACGTATAGGTCTCTTTGATTTAAAATATCTCCTCTTTGGTTAAGAATGCCAAATTAAAATTTATAAATTCTTAGAATAATAACGCATAGAAACCTAGCCCGCACACGCTAAGTGAGGCAAGTTAAAGGCTTCCCAACGGGCTCCCAGGAGCGCGCGGGCTGTTAGTGTTCAAGGTCAAATTGCACCGCGAACAGCTCCAAAATTTTTTGCTAAAAATGACGAAATGTGCGGTAAATGGGTGTAAAAATAGAACAGACAAACATAAAATAGACACTAACATCACATTCCACAAGTAAGTAATGCGTTTCAACTCATATTTTTATGTAATTATTCACTAAAACAGAAAAATAATTTCGCGGCAACAAGATACGAAAGTGTTGCAAAGTAACGAATTTTTGTTCTCCCCATTTTGCTATTCTATCAAAATAATTATATTACGTAAATTTTAGTGGTGCCTGTAATTTCGATTTATTTGCGCATCTTGAACTAATATTTACTTAACGGTACTTAATTATTTTATAATACTTTTAACGGCTCTGCGTTCATGCTTCATTGAATAATTATTTATTTTAATTTTATTTGAATTGGAGCACATATTGCAACAAATTTACAGTATATATTTGTTTCTACTATAACGTACCACCAGTACAACTTTGATAGCTTATTATATGTCTTTCTTTTCGTAACTCAAGCGAAATATTTTATATTAAAATATTTTATTTTCTTAAAAGGGGAGCATTCTTAAGCGATTTTTTAATCTATTTTAACAGTTATTTTCTTTAATGTTTGCTTATGGCATTTTCGGTTTTAGGTTTCGAATATGGCACTTATTTCTAAATCCAAGACGGCGGGCGCGATTTTTCGAATAATGGCAAGTTGGGTATCGTTTTCGAGATGTTTGGGAATGTTCAATACAAATATGGCACTCATTTCTAAATCCAAGATGGCAAACACGACAGTTCAAACAAAAGCAATATTCGTAATGAGCACCTCGAAAACGATACCCAACTTGCCATTATTCGAAAAATCGTGCCCGCCATCTTGGATTTACAAATAGTGCCATATTCACATTGAGCATCCCCAAATACCTCGAAAATGATACCCACATAGCATATTTTGAAAAATCGTGTCCGCCATCTTGGATTTACAAATAAGTGCTATATTCGTTTTTCATCGACAAAACCGAGCATATCTGTAGGCACCTGATCGACAATGTCGGGCAAATCTGTAGGCACCTTTAACTTAATGATGAGTTAAGCAAGATACAATTTCCCCACTTTTGAGGGAAATGTTATTCCATGGCATCATTATTTGTATATTTATGTGCGTGCCGACGAGCGTAGTTACAAGTTGCTTACGCCTACATGAATTTGGTTTTTGCCTCACTTGTTCGTTTGATATGAAACTATCATTCTATGCGTTATTATTCTAAGTATAAATAAATCCATTTAGCTATAGTGCGCGCGGAACTAGCTGGCCGCGCCTTAGGTAGGGACAGGGGTGAGGGGGCGGGTTGCTTGCTGCTCGCAACGCACATGAGATTAGACAGTGACGACCAATATCGAGATATCGTGAACAATAATTGTTCAGTTATTGAAAAGAAAAAATTAAAGCCAATTGAACTTTTACAAGTTTATATTATACCTATCTAATTAATTGCAATGTACAGTCGGCAGCACATCAGGCCGCCACAAACTGTCAGATTTCCTCAATTGATTTTCAACTTAAAGTCCAGGGAATAGAGTATAAAATTGATTGGATAAATTTGACATTTATGTATTGATGGACTTGCTGTTGTCCGTACATTGCAATTAAAAGTAAAATAAACCAAAAACAAATTAAATGAAATTCTTCCGACATATTTGAATCATTTATGAAATTATTATTAATTAATTAGTGTAACTAACACGACTTTGTATTTATAGATATGAAATTACTCTGACATATTATCCTCTGAATCACTTGATTCTGAATTGTCTGAACTTGAGTCAGAATCATCTTGTAAGTTTATAATGAATGCGTCCATCACAGTATCATATCTCATATCATGATTCCAGTATTCTTGTTCGTTTTTTTGTACGTGGTCGTCGCATTTTTGCCATTGTTCGGCAGAAAATTCAGAAAATAGTCTTGTTAGTATTGTAATTTTCTCGTCCAATGTAGCATTAATGTGATTTCTGGCCAGGCAATTTTTTATATTTGCCCACACAAGCTCGATTGGGTTGAGATCTGGATGATATGGAGGTAGTCTTAGAACAGTATGACCTGCACCTTTCAGAAGTTCATCAATCGTGTATATTTTTTCTGATTGGGTCGTATTAATCAAGCCCAAGAGTTCAGCTTTGACCATCGTGGGAGAAAAGGGCACGTTATGATTTTGCAACCAATTCTGCATATTAATTTTCATACAGGACATAGTCGGTTTCTTCTCAACTTGCACACAGTGGTAAGCTGCATTGTCCATAACTATGACTGAGTTAGGTGGAAGTTTAGGTATTAACTTTCGATCAACCCAGTTGTAAAAATTTGTAGAGTTCATGTCTCCATGATAGTCTCCTGTTTTTGAATCTGATTTAAAAATTAGCAGAGCATCGTCAACTAACCCGTTCCGACTACCAGCGTGAACTATTATTAAACGCCTTCCTTTGCCTATATCTGCATAAACACCAGGCTCCGACGAAGATTGCCAACATTTTTGGACATTATGACTTTGGTTAACGTAAGTTTCGTCCAAAAAGAATATATTTCGTTTGTCTTCTCTGAATTTTCTTATGGCCCTCAAATATTTCACTCGCTATTCAACAATGTTTGGTCTCTCTAATAAAAGGGATCTCTTCGATTTACATTTTTTAAATGAATATCCCAGTTTGTGCAAAAGTTCTCTTAAATAAGTTAATCCGCAATCTAAAATATTATCCTCTTTTAACACAGCATTTAGTTTTCGTAGACTTGGATTTGTTTTCTGTACCGTATAAAACTGATTTATTTTTCTTCTTATCACTCCTAAATCAAAATCATCAACTTGTATTTTCTTTTTTTATCTCTTTTGGCCTTCGTGGAGAACTAAATTTTGCTTCCCCTGTATTTTGCAAGGATGTTTTACTTTGAGCAATCACTCTCCTTACACTTCGTTCTGATATCCCGGTTGCTTCTGCCACTAATTTATGAATATTCGCATCAGTTTTATATTCTAAACTATTGACATCGGCTTTCCGTTTTTTAAAAAACGTATGCACTTTAAATATTATTTCCTTAGATTGTCTTTTTATCGGCGGACTCATCTTGACATTGCAATCTCTTGTGCGTTTTGTCTAAACTAGCCAGAACTGTCAACGTGTGTTGCCGCCGCGAAGTCCGGCGCCGAACTGAGTATTCTGAGTAATGACATCAAGTGCCCCCGCCTCCCCGTCCCACCGCTCACATACCTAAGGCGCGGCCAGCTAGTTCCGCGCGCACTATAGTACATTTGAGTTTCGAAAACAGTCGTTCATTTGTTTTTTCCTGATTAGTTTTTTCTTTGGCGTCGCTCATATCGCACAATGGCAAACATAAATATCGCTATATTTACGAGTACGAGTTCTACCGTGGCACCTGTGCTGCAGAAACAGCTCGAAGGATTAACGATGTGTATGGCGCAATAGAAAACACGGTACGCTTTTGGTTCCAACGTTTTCGTTCTGGAAATTTCGATCTTCAGAACCAGAAGAAGATCTTCAGAAGCCCCGTGGACGGCCGGAGACCAAAGTGGATAATGAAGAATTAAAGGCTGTTGTGGAAGCGGAGCCATCGCAAACTACTTCAGAGTTAGCTGCAGGATTCGGTGTGAGTGATAAAACTGTTTTAATCTACTTAAAGCAAATCGGGAAAGTAAAAAGCTTGAAAGGGGGTACCTCATGAATTGAATGAATCAAACCAGCAAACACGCGTCGACTACTGCGTTACATTGCTTAACCGACACAATGGTGACGGGATTTTAAATCGGATCATTACCTGTGATCAAAAGTGGATCCTGTACGATAATCGGAAGCGCTCGTCGCAATGGCTGATCCCTGGAGAACCAGCCAAATCCTGCCCCAAGCGGAAAGTGACTCAGAAAAAGTTACTTGTGAGTGTTTGGTGGACTAGACCCGGTATCGTTCACTACAGCTTTCTAAAACCTGGCCAAACGATTACGGCAGATATCTATTATCAGCAACTGTAAACCATGATGGAAGAACTAGCTGCTAAACAACCGAGTCTGGTCAATCGCTTTAGGCCACTGCTGCTTCAGAACAACGCTAGACCATACACTCAGTGCACTACAGACAGCCGCTAAACTAGAGGAGCTGCAACTGGAATATCTGCGACATCCACCGTACTCCCCGGACTTTGCTCCAACAGATTACCATTTTTTCCGGAATTTGAATAACTTCTTACAAGGAAAAAAATTCAAGTCCGATGTGGCAATCCAAACTGCCTTCAGAGAGTTTATTATTCTCGCCCCCATGGTTTTTTTAGTAAAGGGATCAATGAACTACCTATGAGATGGCAAAAGTGCATAGATAACAATGGGCATACTTTGATTAATTAAATATATTTTACAAAAAAAAATCGACTTTATATTCCTCCCATACAAAACGCCAATTTCATATGTAAGGACCTAATATTTATTTTTTCACTCAATTTATTATTTCAATAGTCAGGATTGTTTATTATAATGGTTGCAAAGGGACACCTAGCAAAGCAGAAGAACATTATGCTGGCAATTCAATGACAAATCAATAGTTACTTGTAAATAAAGCTTTAAAAATTTACCACTTCTCCAACAGTTTTAAGTTCTTGCTTGACGACTGACGTCTTCATAATTCTCCCGGCGCACACGACGGGGCACTGCGCGGCGATGACGTAAGGGCGATGAGGGAAGGGCATCATGAGGGCAGTGCCATAGTTATCCACGGGGGCTGCCGCCTCGTCGCCTACCGTCACGTCCACAGGGCATCCGAGTGTGTTCAACAACACCAGTCCGGTTTGATGGTGCTTTGGTACTTGCAAAGTTGAACGCTGTAAAAAAGTCAACAATGTCAACATGATCTTTGATAACCTATTCGGGTAAATCATATAAGTGCTTTGTTACAAATTTAGGAATTTGTATTTATTCGATAACGCTAAATGTAACACTCGAGTAATAATATAATAGCTAGAATATAACCGTAAATACAAAACTTGCACCTTAAAGGCATGAATCACTACGACTACGTCTGTAATCTTCTTCGTAACTTTATCACATTTTCTAATCTTTGAAACAAAATGCTCTTACGAACCTCGATACCAATCTGTAAAATTCCTGCAGAAATAAAAGCCAATGCGGCGAGCATGCCTCCGATGAACATTTTTTGCAAAGGTGGCAGGTCGGGCAGCAGAGGCCATGCACCACCCGGGCACATCGGGATCATGAGCAATACCATGGCCGGATTCATCACTTGCAGCTGGTCTGGCATCAGAGTTATCCCAAATACCTCGCTGCGAAGACGAGAAGCTTGAAACGTCCACCTGGAACCCTGGCATACAAAGCCAACACAGCAAAAAAGTCCAGTTTTATAAGTGGAAAGACATTCAAACTTAGTTTCGTTTCGGAATTTTATTTCGAATAATACGTAAAAAATAAATGGCATAGCAACCACATTCAATTATTTTATAATACATTAACCTAATGTAAAATCTTTCCTAACTACATACCTGTGTAGGGTATTAATTATTTCCATAGACTGACCTGTTGATCAAAAAGCGACCAGAATATTGGAACAGGCAGATACATGTAGAGGATGGAGAATACGAGTTTCATGTCAGAGACCAGCTTCTCTCCGTACTTGGCGGTGGAATAGTCGAGCCAGTGTTCACCTACACGCCGCGTCTCGCCGTGATCGCGGGACATCAGCTTCTTAATTGCGTACTGCATACGACAGAGAATAGTACTTATAGGAACTAAGCGACATCCGAAGTACACTCAATACACCGATTTGAGCGACGCGGTGGTGATACAATGAACGATAGGAAGGACGTAAGCTTTATACGTACAAGGTCCCAACAAACTAGGTACGGACAATTTTAGAGACGTCATTTCGCATCAGAAAAATTATGTTAAAATATAAATCAAAAATACTTTTTATGCGATTTCAAATTCTACCTACAAATCACCTGTGCATTATACTGACAACAAATTTAAGGCTGCTAGCAAATTGACTGCATACAGTCGATCTCGGCTGCATGTCGGTAGTTAATTCGCGAAGTCGTTATCCGAGATCTCGACTGCATGAAGTTGATAACGATTTCACGCATTAACTGCATGCAGTCAATCCGAGACCTCGACTACATGAAGTTGATAACGACTTCACGCATTAACTGCATGCAGTCGAAACCGACTTCATGCAGCCATGATCGACTGCATGCAGTCAACCTAATGCAGTTAATGCGTGAATGCGTTATCAACTTCATGCAGTCGCGGTTTCGGCAAATGATTGATTACGACTCTGCAAACATGCAGTCAATCTGATAGCAGCCTTAACATAGTCGACTGTAAACATCGCTTTGCTTCGTAAGTAATACCGTAACATTAATATTCTTTTTATTTATTTAAACATTTACTACATGGGACACACAATTATAAAAGGAAAACACGAACAAAAGGTTCTACTTATTCCATAAAGAAATTTCTTCCTGCAGACCTAAGTACATGATACTATAATTAAAATAAACGAGCTTACTTGCATAAGAAAACAAAAATTGTATAACACAAAAACAATATTATAACAATACATTAAAAATGCATGAACTATATATATAAATAGGTACTTAGATAAATACATATTTCATAATATAATATCAAGAAATGGATAGAATAATGGATAAATAATGCTCTTTAACTCTCAATATGAAAATACCTAACGATTTAATTTCGCGCACAGTAATAGGAAGTACTTACGTTCCAAAGTCTGACAGCATGAACAGTGAAGGAGCGAGAATAGAAACGGGAATTGAAAGATGAAAATAAAGACCTAACTGCTACGTTGATATAACTGATAACTAGGTAACTGGCATTCGTTTCAATTTTAACAGTGAAGTCGCCAGAGACATTTAAAAGGTTTCAAAAAAATGCCATGGAAAAGATTTAAATCACCATGTAATATTGTTAAAAGGGAATGTTTGGTCAGTCATAACTAAAATACACTTAATGCGATAAGATAACTAAGTTCAAAATTATTATAATGAGAGAAATAACTGGCTCTAAAAATATCCGTACCGAATATGTCAGCATTCTGATATGTTGTTCGATATATATCAAAAATGTCTGTCTCTGCCCGGGGCTGTTATGTGGAGAGATTTGTGACACTTCTTCCGGAAAGTCGAATGTTCTTTGGAAAACTTAAATAAAGAAAATATCGCAAGGACAAATGTAAAATACAAATTACATTGAAAAAAGCTCGTATGGCTAGATAAATAGGAGGGGAAAGTTTTTAAAATAGTTTATTCGATTACAAAACAAATTGTTTATTTCGAAATAACAATTATGAGACCAGTTATATATAATTGAAACACCTTTCCTGACTGAAACGATTCAAATCATAATGATTTCTTCGCGAGTCAGCAGCACAAGATGCTTGGAAAAGGCACACAGGTTTGCTATTTCAAGCATACCTTTTTTATTCTTATTTTGAAATTGTTGAATAGTTTAATAATAAGGAGCTATGGGTCTCTATTAATCCATCTCACGCCATTGCCTACACGAATGACTTCAATGTCGCGTAGCGGCGCGGTCTGCTCGGAGCTGTTATTATTAAATCCGAATGATTGAATTAGTCACAACTATATAGGGACAAGTCCATAATACACCGGAAGCCTTTGCCTGCAATAATATTCCTGTTATGGGTAAAGCAATACAGTTGTACGGACTAATAAGAGTCCAAATCCTCGGAATATTGGTGCACAGTGAACTTTGTTTCTAGGTCCACATTCTCAGTGTGACTAACAACGTTTTTATCGAGTTAATTGTTATTAATGTACATGATTACCGTAGCGCTAATTTGCATGTACCTATACCTTTGTGAATCACTGATATTGTCTCGACTAACTTATTGTGACGTTGTTCACAGTGGTTGTATCCTTACTAGGTTTTGAAGGTTAATACGACATAACGTATTTGAACTGACAACACTCAGTATCTGAACGCTGCAAAAGTATTAACCACGTCAGCTTGTCGTCAGCTACTAAACCAGAGAACTTACAGAGACACCCGAATATCGCAAGCTAACGTGGCCTCAGACCCGTATCAAGCACAAGTTCGGCCTGTCATTTATTGTCACTTTTTGAACTAGAGTTTTATTTCAAAACTCGAATAAGCTTTAAGACTCGAGTCCCTGCTCCGATGACTCGCGCGCATCTCCACTCGGACTCGCTGAGTGTTTCCGAGTCGTGCCAAATTGAGTAGAGTTTATAAATGTAGACTCCCGGACTCGAATTTTTTACAATACTATTTTTGCTTCGATGAATTAGTACGACCATGCTTAAAATTAATCTGAAAATCGGTATCATATAACACCTGAGATGTGGCAGTGGGGACGAATAAATATTGCCGTTTTTAATAATGCCTGGGAGCCTAAAAAGGCTGCCTTGGCAGAATCATAATATGATTTAAGTAACAATTCATATTTTGAATTTTCAAATGAAACAAAAAACGCAATTCATCTGTTTGACAGTGTTCTATAGAGACGTCCACATTACAGATTATCTGTGGCTATTTCATTTTATAGCGAATATCCATCCTGTTATCACAGACAACCTTCACTTTACGCCTACTTTGAATGCTAATGAAATTTAATTTAATTGATATAGAAATAGATTTAATTGTCGATAATTGTCTGGTACCTTGGCTTAGTGTACCTATTTACCTCAGGCCAACCTCCAGTATGAATAAAGCTTCATTTAGAATTGGCGACATAACTATCGTTGAAGTAAAACCGCACAAGCTTAGAGGGGCACAAAAGCGAAGGGTTAGCGTCTCAAAAAAGGACAGTTGATGCTCCATCATTCATCAATCATGGAGATAGTTTCACTCGCGTTAGTTGCACAAAAACTTGTGTATAAAAGCACTACATGGCAATGTGAAATTGATTGATACCTCCACGTCTTGCTATGCTATTATCGTGATGGATGACATGAACCACCTTCGTTGTGAAAGATTTCTACGTCATCAATAATATGTGGCTGATTACGTTACACTACCGTTCTGCGTCGGATAATAGATAGGCATACGTGGGTTAGCAATTAATCTGCCTTCGTCGTAACTATCTGTTACATTCTGTAGAAACAATTTCTACCATTCAAAATAACTAGACCGCTCTACCACACCACATAAAAATGTTCAAAAAATCGCTTCTATAGGTTTTACCGTATTCAGAGAAGATACACTAGGTTCATCAACAAGTTGTGCGTCTGGTAGTAAGCGACACCTCTGCCCGTAACAGCTGCAATACCGCTCAGAGCTTTAAATCGCAAGATTTAAGGGGCACTGCCTCTGCGCGCGACAGAGGCTTAAGTTGAAAAAAACCTATGCGCCTGTAGATTCACCAGCATCCATCTTTACTGATTTCACATTACTGATTGGCGGTAGAAACAGTAAAGTGACAGTAGCTCCCTGGACGAACTTTTTCGTATGGAGTTCTACTGCCACGTAAGTTCTGTACCTCCAGTGTAAAACGGTTAAACTCGAGTTTATCCAAAATGTGGATTTTGATACCATTGCGTGTTTTTCGTAATGCTACATCGTTTGTTTGATACTTGTGGTTATGCGATCATTAGCTCCGAAGATAACGATTGTGCAAACGGATTAATGTCAGCAAACATTTGCAAGTAATTTGTTCAAAATGGTTTATTTTTAATTTATCTCAAAAGCAATAGCGACATTCGCAAATCGTATGTTTTAATTATGATTAATGTCTCCTTTTACCTGTATGAACAAATTAAATGTCGTACGAGTGTTGGTGTAAAGAGATGAAACTATACATATTTTGTTTTATAATACCGGCCTAATATTGTGTAAAGCGGTACTATTTCACTTTGATCACTTTTTGATTTCTTTAAATAAACTCTAACCATTTTATACATTTCCATTTTTTGTGTAAAGGGGTATAAACAATTTATGTATGCCAATATCTCTGTCATTTTTGCAAAATACAGGTTAGTTTTACAATCAACTTATTACGTACCCTTTATTCTATCTGAAAAGATTTGAAAAAATACTTTTTTTTTGGGGAATGAGAAAAAAACTGATTCAAAACGAGTTTTTGCTCTAATGTAAAATAGCATTTTTTGAGTTTAACCCATTTACACTGGAGGTACAGAGTTGTACTCGTGTACATAGATAAGGATAAATATAAACAGAAGAGAGTAATTGTGTAAGGGGTGTAAACGGATTGATATTTTAAACTGATGCAACTTACCCATGCGCACGATACGAATTTTATTGTGACATTATCGCGAGGTTTCTTTATTCTGTACCACTGTTTCCCGGCCACGAACACCACTGAAATGTATATAAATAAATTTACCAAATGTGCAGTGTAATAAAAATATCAGCATTTGGAGCACGTCGCGTAGAAGAAAACTAAGGTCTTGTCGCTGTCTATGATTATCAATATCCAATATCTTCCAAGCTCTTATTATTCCCGTAAACCCTCAACAATTAGCCAACAAATGGTGGCAAAGCGTAGTTTTGCGGCAATGTAATTTCGCGATGAAGAAATAATCGGAAGAAAATCAAATAACGTAAACGAAAAATAAATCAAAATGTCGGCTCAATATCGAATTGAACCTTTGAAAAAGGATAACTACTACACCTGGTGCATCCACGCCCATACAATACTTATTAAATCCAAATTTTGGAGCTATGCCAGCGGTGAAAAAATATTGGCAGCGGATGCTGTAGCTGAAGATAAAGCTAAATTTACGCAGCAAAATATATTAGCACGTTCCGAGCTACTTCTGCTGATCTCGCCGTTGGAATTAAAGCTGGTAAAGAGCTGTAAAACTGCCAAAGAAATATGAAAAAAATTGAAAGGGCTTGTCAGAGTCGGGGCCCTGCCCGTATGACCACGCTACTCAAACAATTAATATTAAAAAAGACATCAGCGAATAGCGAAGACGTCTGTGACCATTAAAATAAATTAATGGATGTGGTCGCCAAACTCACAAGCATAGATTTAACTAGTGAACTAGTTAGTGTCTATAATAATGTTATATAGCCTCCCCTCGTCCTGCGACAATTTTAGAAACGTAGTAGAGTTAAGAGATCAACTTCCCTCTCCGGAAGACCTCAAAATTAAAATAATCGAAGAAAGTGAAGCAAGAAGGAATACAAGCACAAACGCAGAAATAACAAATAAAGGAGAAGGTGCTTTCTACTCAAAAAATAAAATACCTTATTGCCGAAAATGTAGAAAAAAGGGTCCTTCGACTGAAAAATGTTGGAGTAGATTTAGACCGAATAAAAGGGATAAGTAATAATAGATGATTATACTAGTTATTGGTATGTCTAATTCATCAAATAAAAAAATGTAGAAAATATTAAAAATGAAAAAATAATATAAATAAAGGTGGAGAAATTAGAGAATAGACAGTTTTTAATTTAAACCTCCAAAGTGACAATGGTACTGAATATTGCAATAAAGAATTTAATGCATATGTAAAGGAAATTGAATAAAAAGAATGCTTATTGCCCCGTACACGCTACAAAATAACGCACACGCGCACACACTCATAGCCCTAGGGAAACCCTTTATCGCGGATGCCATGGATAAACACATAAACAACTACAAATTACATCCAGACTCACGAGAGAAATAAATGTAGACCTCACAATTTTTCTACTGGCCCGGGAATCGAACCAGGGACCTATGTGTGGCAGTCCAGGGTGGTAGCCGAATGGCTACAGAGGCAGATTGAAAGTGGATGGTAAGAGAATGGATGAATGAATGGAAAAATCGAAACCTGGTCGGAAGAGCTTGATATTTAATGAATGAATAGAATCAGGAGTACCCGAAAGACTACGGGCAGAAGCGATATACACCGCTAACTATTAATTAACAGCAGTCCAGCAAAAGTGATTAATGAAACACCTTACGAAAGGTGGATTGATCGTTTGCCGTCTTCGATACACCTTAAAGTTTTCGGTCAAAAAGCGTAAATACATAAAAAGACTCGAAAAATAAAGTTTTCCTCGAAAGCAATAGTCGGAAGCCCTGGCTATGCGCAGAATGCAAAGGGTTTTAGGATATACTCACCGGTAAAGAACGATGTCATCGTTAGTCGTTACGTTAAAGTGTCTGAAACCTTCTACTATGAAAAGGAAAATGAAAATTTACGTATATGACGAGATGGTATTAGATGAACCAGAACCAGTTAAAGAAACCATTGTTGTCGATATACCAGTATCTACCATAGTACCGGACGAAATTCCAAAAGAGAAGACACCAGATCCGTCGCCTGACATACAGCCTTCGTCCAACTCAAGACCTAAAAGGTTACAAAAAGATCCAATTTGGATAAAGGATTTTGTTTTGGAAAGCGTATCCAACCTACAAGTCAATGGTAATGAGGAAGTATGGTATAGTAACGACAAAGTGAAGCGACACCCAATAACGAATTCATAAACACTGTTTGTAATAGCGTCAGGGACGACGAGTAGGATGACGCCATAATGGACGAAATACATGCACATATCAAGAACGGCACATGGGTGACTACGAAGAAAAGAGATGAAATAAAGCTGATGGGCTTCAAAATGGTGCTGAGAAAGTAAGAGAAAAGCCAGATAAGTCGCTCGAGTGTTCACGCAGCGACCAGCAATATACTACGAAGAGACTTACGCACCTACAACAAAAATAGAGCTCTATACGAACAGTCCCAGCATTGTCAGTCGCGGAGAATTTGAAACGTTGGCAAATGAATGTCACTAAACGGAGATTTAAATTATAGAATTTTTATGAAAAAGCCAGATTTCCTAGAAAGGTTTATCTTGAATACGGTGACTAATAAAGACGACATGGCAGTACTACGAAAGGCCGCAATAGTGTTGGAGTACTGTACCAAAACTAAAGGACAGAAAGTATGTGAATTAAAAATATCTCTTTACGGCTTGAAACAATCCGGAAGATAATGGTTCCTAAAACTTATCAGTGAGTTGCAGAACATAAGGTTGTGTCCCTTCACAGGCTGTCTCTTGAGTTTACCTGCTTGAAAAAGGAAAATAGAAAGTCATTCAGCTTAGGTGGATGATCTGCTTGTGATATATTCGAGTGAATCAATCTCAAATTAAAAACAAAGTCAAGAATATACTAAAACAATAATTCGAAATGAAAGATTTAAGAAAGAGCTTCTTGGAATTGAAATTCGAGAAAGTCAAAACACTATAAGGATAAGCCAAGGAAAATATATTGATAAAGTTTTAGATAAAACCAGAGAGGGCGCCCCTGTGCTCTAGTAAACATTTGACTCCGTATACTAATTTTCAATTTCGTGGAATAAGTGCAGTGCTGGTGTTAATTGATTTAAGTTAACGTTCGTAGTGTTCTAATTAAGCTACACAAGTGTTATCCCGCAAAAAATCGAAAAGGAAGTTTAAAAAATAAGCTAAATCAAGTTTGCCTTTTACAACATTAATTATTGCAAAAACACAAATTATTCCGTTTAATCAAAACCAAATTCGTGTAAAGAAACATCTTAAAAACTCCGGGACAGCAATCAGCTTAATGTTCGAGGTACGTCTAAAAATTGTTATACTTAATAAATAATTTATATAATTTTTAGTGAATCTTTCTAAGTCATAATTTAAAGTGGCTGTGTTCAAATATTTGTTATTACGTATATTGAATAATAGTATATTGTTATTTCTGAATTTATACAATATGTTGCATATGTTTGTTAGTAGTCTAAAGGAATTTATCATTACACCCCACAGAAAAAACAATACGATCTTCTTTGGTTATAACATTTGTTATGTGAGTTAAGTCATTTACAATATGTGAGCTAGAAGCATAAGGTTTTACTACTGCTCTTACGTTGTATCTATCATTCTACTGGTCTTTTCTGTAATAGTGAAGTGTGTATTGTAGTCTAGGCTCTACTCTATGAGTAGAATCACTGGCTGAATGAATAGTTTTGTAATTAGAAAGTGTTATAAAAAAGGAAATAAGAAGAGAACATCTTGATACAGAACGAAATATAACCCAACGTTGAAAGTATGTGAAAGAATACAATAAAGCATATTTTGAAGATTATTCCAGTTTAAATTCACAAAAGTACCTCTCGCTACACAACCCAAACTACGCCCCAGTTACAAACGGTGGAATTCGCCGGTTTACAAATGAAGAAACTACGAATCCCGAAGTGAAAATTTTTTATATTTTTATTTTGAAAAATCTGCCAATGGAAGAGATATAACTCAAGCCTGCAAATGTTGGACGCAAGCTTACGAATAATGAAAGGATTCCGATGAAGAAAAGTCCATTGTGAAATATTTTTATATGTTGTTACGACACAACTTCCAGGAAAGCGTACATAAGGTCGTAATTTATTTTTTTATATTTAATATTGATTTATAATTGGTGCCAGTAAAATGTGCGAGAAGAGATTATGTATTGTGTACCGGCACAAAGATTTAAAGGATTCAACGACGTAGATGAGTTTTTGAATCAATTTGAGGCCATTAGTGTATTAAATAATTGGTCTGATGTGCATAAGAGATACGTGTTGGCATTGTATTTGGAGGGGCCAGCTCTACAATGGTATAAAATGTATTTTTCTTCATACATGACGTATGATGTGATTGCACAGAAGTTAAGAGAGGAATTTCCCTCACAAATAGATTACGCCCGAGAATTTTATTATAGGCGACAGGGGCCTAATGAATCGCTGATAAGTTATTTTTATAGTTTAGATAAGTTAGCGACGAAAGCGAATATTCAAGATGTTCAGTTTATTAAACATTTCTTGAAGTCTTTGATACCCAATTTTCAATGGATCCTGGCTAGTAATTTGTATTTATAAAGAGGAGTTGAGAAAAACAATTATACAAGTAGATGATATATTTAATCACAGTTATGATGTGAGTCGACAAAATATTGATTTGCCAGTATTTTGTCACATGGAGCACTCTCACTGTTGGCAAACACAGGGTGACTCCGCACCGATAATTAGACCCGAGTCTAAGCAGTCGGAATATCAAGTGCCACGAGCACCAGTCGTGCATCAGGATACGCCAAGTCAAGGGTATTCACAGGCACATAGTAGGGGATCTTCGTCGGGATCTCCTCAACTTGGATGTCAGCAAAGCGCAGCTGAACATTTAGGAAATTTGTCTACAATTGATAGTTTTTTGTTTTTAATAAAAATGGATACACCTTTTGTATCCATTTTTATTCGTTTTCCGTGCAGTTAAGTTTTACAGGAGTGGCCTCAACTAACTGCTATATAAAACTACAATAGATTCTTAAGGAGGGTACTTTGATAACTTTCTATTTATGTATTTATTAGTAGATTCAAGTTAAAATAGTCATAGATTAATTTTCTTTCTATGAAATATTTTGAATGCGTCAAAACTTTTTTCGAATTTATTTCAATATCGTTTTGAAAATATCGAAATAAATTTGTTCCCTATCGTCAATTGAGTTCGACGTCGAGCATTTTGCATATCTATATAAAATTTTCGATTTTGTCAAGCTTTGACAAAAAAGTTTTTTGTTTACGATGATTCTAAGTAGAAATATAGTCGTACATTTTTTCACTTTGTATAAATAGAAATGCTTTGAAGTAGTGTTGCTGATAAAAGGTAAAAATACAACTGCAGTTAAACCTACCTAAAATGTACAAAATGTTTTTTTTTATACATGACAGGCAGATGACCGATGATAAAAGGGTTTATGTGTGAAAGACTCCCGGAAAGCTCACTTCATTCAAATTAATTAAATTTTATTAATAATTTATAGATTTAGTTTTTAAGCTTATTTGCAACACCCTGACTGGGTTATGTACAATACCAAATTTTATTGTAAGAACTTTTTATTATGTACATGTGCAATATGAGATACATAAATAGATAATTAAATAGACTGAAATAGAATAGAAATGGAATGGATTCCATCTAATGTAAAATGGAAAAAGGGAATCCAAACCTGACGGAAACTAGTACAGTGGTAATATAATCACCACTCTAGCCACCTCCACCCTACATGCAAGATGTCTCTTTAAGCCTCGTTTGAAGGACCTCATATCATAAGACGGAGGGAATACGTGCCCTGGAAGGGTGTATCATTTCTCAACTGTGCGACAAAGGAAGGTGCCACCAAACCTTTTGTTCTCGATGGAATACGGCAAGTTGTTAAACGGTGACTACGAAGGCTAACACGTGTGCTTCGGAGCAGGAAAGGGGAGGGCGGGATAAGGTTGAACAGTTCTTCAGAGCACTCGCCATGGTACATCCGATAAAAGGTGTTAAGTGATGCAACGTCACTACGCAGTTTTAGAGGTTCAAAGTGTGATGAGACATCTTCATCGCCAATGACTCATGAGGAGCGACTCTGCAAACTGTCCAAGGCATCGAGAAGGTACTTGGCGGAGCCATCCCAGAGGTGCGAACAATACTCAACGCAAGACCTAACTTGTGTTTTGTACAACAGGCATAATTGGACAGGCGCAAAGAAACGACGCACCTTGTTCAGGACACCGAGTTTTCGTGAAACTGTTTTGATCACCGTTTATATGTAACTCTTTGGGCTCAGATCGCAGCAGACCTCCAAACCAAGCAAGGCGATACTGCTTTGATGCGTCAGATTTATAGCCATCAGAGAAAGAGCGGGAAGAACGGTGTCAACTTTGCCGTAAACGCGCAGACCTGTGTTTTCTTGGCATTGAACTCAACAAGATTTTTCAAACCCCAATCACGTATGAGGTCAAAACTCCATTGAGCCCAATCACAAGATCTGAACGCTCTCTTTCGGTTTCAGCGCGTCTAGCCGAGTGTCAGCCATGACATCCCCCATGAACTGTGCTATCATGTTATCGGCCGAAATCCATACTGACGATCATTAATTATGGAGTGATCTTCTAGGTATTGGATCAGTTGCTTGTTGAGGATCCGTTCGAACACTTTGCATATGATGACAGTGATGGCTATGGGGCGGTAATTAGTCGAGCCTGAACGATCGCCTTTTTTAGGGACAGGTTGTACATTACCCTCTCTCCAAGAGTCCGGTACACGACCAGAAGAAAACGACAGACGATACAGACGCGTTAGCACTGGGGACAACTCTGATGCGCAGTTTTTCAGAACAACCGCTGGGATGCCAGCAGGACCACTAGCTTTCCGAACGTCAAGAGACTGCAGCTCCACACGCACATCACGGTGTCTAATACGAATATCAGGCATCCTGTTACAGTCGTCGAGTCGGGAGTTAAACGCAAAGCGATTTGCTATGAGATCAGCTTTCTCTTGCGGTTTGTGGGCTAGTCAGAGCATTTCAGCGGGGGGAGCGAGAGTAGGCAGAAGTTTGAAGTAATGGCCCTTGCAACACGCCAGTTGGCCCTTGCAACACGCCAGTATCTACGGCTGTTCGTAGGTTGCGTTCGAAGCTCTTGGCGAACTCGTGTAACGCGCTGAGCATCCGCTCTGATGGACGCCCTTTTGCAAGACATGGTGGCGTTATTATAGGCTGTCTTTAATGAGTTCGTTTTAGGATCATGTGAAGCCCGCCCCCTGATCCAAGCACGGTATGCAGCCTGTTTGTTCTCAACAGCCTTCGCACAATCACGGTTAAACCAGCGGTTATGCCTCCCATTACCGACGAGACCTGAATGCGGGATATAGTATTCCATCCCTAATAAGATCGCATCAGCAACAGCAGATACACTAGCTGTTGAGTCCACCTCACTAAAGCAGTGCTGACGCCAAGAGACGGATGCACGGTAGTCCCGCAAGCCGTCCCAATTTGCAGATGCGTAATTCCAAATGCGGCATTTAGCCTTTATATTTGGCTTCTTAAATCTGTGAAACTTTAGCGGATACCAAACAGTGATCCGAGGTGCCCAGAGGGGCTCGGCCCCTATCCGTCTGGGCGAGAAATCAACAGAAGGTCCAATAAAGAGGTGTTGTGAAGGTGGTGTCACGTATAAGGTGATTACTAACCAGACGGGTTTTCAAGTCCTACCACCGGTAGAGCTGTTGGTAGCTCAGTGTTCCTTTAGTCGCCTCATACGACATCCATGGGAAGAGTTAGAGGCGGTGATTTGTATTCTAATCCGTCACCGCACGGATTAAAAGTGTAAGTGTGCATTTGTTGTTTTAAGAAATAGTCTAGCATGTCGTGCGTATTGAAGGATTAGGTAGTGATGGATGATTCATAGGATACCTATGCAATACAGTACCTATGGAAATAAAGACGAGAAGAACGGGAAAACCAAAGCCAAGCGCGTAGCACGTGTCATCTCCGAAGCACATGGCACACCGGCGTAGAGCGGGCGTAACTATCATGCCCATGAATCCACCCAGGTTCACCGTGCAGTAGAAAATAGAGAAGAACTTCTGCAGTCGATCGTTCTCCTCCGGTAACCGGAACTGTACATAAATAACTAGATACTTAAAAAAAATATTTGTTAAGCAAAATACATAAATTTCAAACAAAAAAGATTAATTAAAATAAAAAAGCATGTCAAAAGAGTCCACGACTCAGCATCTGAAGATTATGCTAATTACATAGTTCTGGCCGTTATTCTTTTAACTTTAAACTAAAGACACGATATTTAGGAGGTACATACGTAATAATTAGTAGCAATCAATGCATCAATCCCATTGACTTACAATTATATGGACGTCGGGTCCGCGCTAAAAAGTGTCCGAACTTATAGGGCGTTAAAATCGTATACAGAGCCTCATTCACGCTTTAGTCTTCGTTTGTTCGACTGACAGCGCGCTTGTCAATGATGCCGTATTGTGTAGTAAAACCTTGTAAAAATTACTCAACTAAAGTGAAAAAACAGGGTGGTATATCATATTTTCAGTAAGTACTACATTGTGTTGTCATAGTTATCATTTAAAAGTGTTATTTTTGCACTAGTATATATAGTATTTAATTTATATTTAAATTAATCGTAAATATAAATTACAAAAGCAATGAAAACAATCAAATAGCTAACTGTCTCTTTCCGACTCATAGCTTGCGTAAAAGACTGAACGAGACCCAACACGTCAATTTCAATTGTATCAAACACAAAGCGTTTGAAATATTTAGAACAAAAATTTCATAGAGTCGCTTTGATGCTAATGTTATTATTAAAATATTTTTTAATACATGTTAGCAATACTTTCAAGTATTGTTCTTCTCTTTCTACGGCTTGGGGGTTACGAATCAGAAGACCGAAAATACATTTGCCCGAAATAACGTTTGCATGAATTTCCATAATCCCGAAAGTATTTTTTTAGGTTTTTTTTTTAGAATATTGCAAAACAAACCTAAGCTAACTTAGTCTTTTCTTCGTAATATGCATCCAAAACTCCCTAAAGCATAACGGTTTTATCATGAATCGGTTTTCAGGATTATGAAAATTTCGGGCAAAAAATTTCATTTTCATTTCATTTCATTTCATTTCATTTCATTTCATAAGAAAATTAAAAAAAAACAGCTTTGCCAACATTGCTAGTAAGAACTGGTTTTTGGTGCCTAGGCATTATATTAAATTTTATTAAATTTATATTAAATCTTTGGTATGTTATTACATCAATGAGTGAACTGTGCATAGAAAGGAGAGAATACAGGAATTTATCCAGTAAACATAGCTTGAACTTAAGGAGAAAGTGACAAGTATTAACAGAGAACATCTTACACCGCCAAAATGCATTAAAAATCAAAAGTTGGATGAATTACTAAATATACCAACTTAAGAAACAAAGAAGGTAATTGAAGCAGACTGACACTGCAAATTAAATAGGATTTCTTTAAAAGTTTAAGCAATTTGTAGCTTTCACATTCAAACAATGCATAATAATACAAATAGTACAACCTTGATAGCCTAACGGTTTGCACTGTGGGCACTGGATGAGAAATTTCCGGGTTCGATACCGGTAGGATCAATTTAACAAATTAATTTTTCTAAATGGTTCTGGTCTTGGTATTCTATTATAAGACAATCACCTGGTCTGAAACTAGGGAACTCTCTGTATATACTCCCCATGAGTATCAGAGCTACAGAATCCCAGAGCAGAACCAAGTTACAAAAGTTCATTTCCCAACTTGGTTCTACCGGGAATCGAACCTGGGACCAAGAACGATGGAATTTATTTCGGGGCACAACTCGGAACACCCAGGCCAAAACAACTTTCGAAAAGTTCACATTTAGTTTTATAGTTGATTGAGCTGATTTTTTACGGTTTTTAAAAAAATTCTCGAATAACTCGAGAAATCGGGTATGAGTATTCTCAAACCTCAAGAAAAAAAAATCAGACACCCTAGATCGTAATGAATGTCATTGTATAAAATTCAACATTTACATATAATATTTATTTATAAATAATAAAGGCTACTACATTATACCTGTGTTCAAGTACTTTTCACTAGAAGCTACGTAAGGTGCATTTTGGTAAGTTTCCAGTAGAATCTGAATATGGTGTTTTTTTGCGCCTTTCAATTGTTGCAAGCAAAATTAGACAGTACTGCGATGACATTACAATTTAAATTCAACGTTTTAGCTTTTTCATATTCCTTTACATGTCACTACGTATAAATAGGTTGCTTGGGACATTTTATTCGTGGTTTTTGTATTAGACCCGTCGTCCATTTATTTGTAAGTCAATGATCAACCCAATGTAAATTTCTAGGAATCCTATCTTAGTGAGAACTTAGAATTTTCAATTATCATTTTTTCAAAAAATTAATTCAAAAAATTAATTATCATTCGCTTTAAAATTTTTTAATTGGTAAACAAACATTTTAAAACATTTTCACCCACATAGTGCTAAAAAAACGTGATTTTTATTGAAGAAGGCATGGACACGAAATGTTTCGAGCCTTTGTAAATCCAATAAAATATTACAGGGCTAATAAGAAAAGAAATTAATGTGTTTATAATACAAATATATCAACGTAGACCTGGTCTCCGCCAAAAGCCGCCACACAAGGTTTAATGCCACCTGTGCCTGTAGCGATCAGCGCCAGCCCCAGCATCGAAGTGGATCTGTACAAAGTGTCTGTCGCTTGTTTTATTGTGTCGTGTTTAACACAATCACTTAATAGAATCTGCCATGTCTGTATTTTTTATAGGTAATACCAAAGAGATGATGATTAATGAAGTTGTTATTGTTTTCTTTCAGTTTCCATTTAATATACATACCCATAGGATATGTAATTATATTAGACCTTGGACATTTTAATGAATTGAATTTCTTAAGAGGAGTCTCACGTGAATTCTTATGAGACTCCATCCAATATCTCGAATCATCATCAACCCATTTATATATCTCACTGCTGGGCATGGGTCTCCTTTCAGACGAGGGTATAGGCCATAGTCAGCCACGCTGGCCCAATGCGGGTTGGGGACTTCACACGTTTTCCGAGGGTTGTGAACCTTCTTCAACGTGCAGGTTTCATCACAATGTTTTCCTTCGCCGAAAAGCTCATGATCAAATTATATTTCGCACATGAATTCCGAGAAAGTCAGAGGTGCGATGCCCGGATTCGAACCCCCGACCTTCTACTTGACAGGCAGTAGGTCAAACCATTAGGCTACCACGGCTTATATCTCGAATATAATGATTATTATTATTATATTTCTTTAGCTGTGAAGCCACAAGTTTAGGTAATTAATTAACGTTGTGAGGTGTCATTATATTAAACTTACGTAGGCGGCAACATGAGCGGAGGTATCGCAGAACAGCATGTCAACACCGTGCCGACCAAATATATGATTGAGAAATATAATATGACTCTGGAAAAGAGTCAATATTGAGGGACGTTTCATTAGTATATACCCTATACACATAAAATCCCACATAAACAGTCTAAAGTGTGAGTCACACTTACATCCCAAACAGATTCACACCCACAATCACAGCTGTTGCAGTTTACCGCAATCTTTTTAGTTTACCTTAATCAAGATAAATTAATATACCTTTCGCCGAGTCTTTGTACTTACTTGTACCTTCCTATGAAATTGTCCGCCAAAATAGCACCCACAAGTGGCATTGCATAACACATCATGATAAATATATGATACACTACAGTGGCAACGTTTTCGTGTAAACAAAGCACGTTCCTCAGGTAAAGAGACAAAATTGCTGCAAAGAAGTGCCACGAAAATTGAAGTTGCTATTTATTATGTATAACGTGTTAACAATTTTAAAAAGGTAGCTTACTTCTCAGTCCACAGAAAGAAAATCTTTCGCAAAATTCTGTAGCTATTATACAAAATATAGATGTAAGGTGTCTATGAAACATTTTCAGACGCTAATTAAATAGGGCACTTTGTAAGAACTGTATTTACTCCCTTTCTATTTTTAGATTTCTTTAAAAAGAAATACAGGTTCAATTAATTTCTACTTATGAAACTGATGGTAATTGGCAAAGGAAATGCAACCACTAAGTCTATCACAACAATGTGAACAAAATTAAATAAAATCACTTTGACTTCAAACTAAACTTCAATATCATTACTTCACTTCACTTTTTATTTTTATGGCTCCATCATTATGAGAAATGATGATTTCGCCAATGTCACGGTTGAAAGAAAAAAAAACGAAACAAAAAAAAATTCGCTAAGCTCTAATGGTGTTGGTAAGTTGGACCACGGGAGTACTCAGTTGAGAAAAGAAAACAGTTTTATTTGAGATCTTTCAGTCTTTTTGAAGTTTGACCCATAGAGTAACTTATGTAGAGGATGGAAAAAAATAAGCGATTCCTTTATTTTATTTCTTAGTGGATAGGAAAACTTTTGCCCTATCTACGGAGTAAACGTACCTACCTAAACCAAAATTGTACCGCACATATGGCGGATTTAGTGTTGTACCATAACCATAGATAAGTTAATATCAACATGCAAATGTATGGCTTGAATGTGAAACTACTTTTTATGTTTGCAAATTTGTATAGTTTACTGTAATCAAAGTATGATTACTACTAGGCTATTATTACTAAGCAAGTAGTAAGCTATTTTAATGAAAATTAAATATAAAGTTATTTACCAATAAATGTAACGATGGATTACATTATCATGTAATCTAGTTACATTCAAAATTCTATTAAAATTCGACTTTTCAAAATGGAGCGAACAAACGAAGTTGGTATTTGATCCAATGTTTATGTTCGGCAGTCTTATAATTTCCAACCATTCTTTCTTTCTTTTTCATTTGTAGGTAAACTTAAAAAATAATAATAATGAAACAATAAAGATCTCGTGGTGAATTGTTTTAATAACAGAATATCGATCTGCTTACAAGAACAACACTATCTCAAAATAATCGTTATCAATAATCATCAAAATTTACTAACAAACAGGCAATCTAAAATAATCAAAGCAAAATTCGGCAAGACTTATGAATAAACTACTTAAATGAGTCTAATTACATGAGATATAAAGACAAAAACAGCAAAATGACAACAGTTGGCATTTAAGACGACGTTACGTATTTTCGATTCCCGTGTTTGGCATAAATCAATATGAATGTAGTGCACTTTTCTTAGACTATGGGAACTAAAGGACATGTTACGTTGACATATATATTTCGACGTCGAAAACATAAACATATTATTGTCTTTGTTTAACTATTACGTGCCGTGTTAAGCCAAAAGAGATAGCATTACATTGGTCTGTGTCAAACACGGGAGTCGAAAATACGTAGTCATCTTAAATGCCAACCGTGTCCATGTCGAAGTACATGAGGTACATGATACCGCTGTCAAAAGGAAGTACATCAAATGTCAAAACAAATGTTTTTCCAAATGTACTATTGAATTACTCGCATGTATTATAATTAAATTGGACAAAAATATTGAGTGAGAATAATTAGGTATTAATAAAAATGCGACGTTGCAGCATTAAGGGATGTGGCTTTCGAAAAAGTACAAATCAAACGAATGTTACATTGCACAAGCATGTGTTATTTTTTTGTCTATAAATCACACAACAGCCCAAATATTTCATGTAATTAGACTTATTTAAATAGTTTATTTATAAATCTTGCTAAATTTTGGTTTTGTTACTTTAGATAGCCTGTTTGTTTGTATATTTTGATGATTATTGTTAACGATTATTTTGAGATAGTGTTGATCTTGTAAGCATACATATTATCGATATTCTGTTATTAAAACAATTCACTACGAGGTTTTTATTGTTTTATTATTATTATTTTTATTATTTCAAGTTTTCCTACAAATGTAAAAAGGAAGAAAAAAATGGTTGGAAATCATAGGATATAAACGTTGGATCAAAGAACATCTTCATTTGTTCGTTTCATTTTGAAGAGTCAAATTTTAACAGAACTTTGAATGTAACTAGATTACATGACAATGCTATTCCATCATTAGGTTTATTGGTAAATAATTTTATGTTCAATTAAGATTAAACAAGACTCATTTACTAGTTATTCTCAGTTCCTGAAAACAAAATTATCCACTCGTTTCTGATTTTTTCCCAATGGCAACTCTAACTATTAAAATAGACTATTTTTTTAAATCCTGTATGTTACCAGTTGTAATCTTAAAAATAAATTTTAAAAACAGTTTAAAAATGTGTGTTGACATTTATGATAATATACCAACTCGAGATTAAATTATTAGACTTGTGTTTGTTTAGGCATACTTTGGTTACAGTAAACTAAAGAAACAAAAAAAAACAGTTTCAACATTCAAGCCATACATTTGCATGTCGATAATGACTTATCGACAGATTATGATACAACATTAAATAAATTTGTAACTTCCTGGTTATATGCACGTTGATTCTGTAGTTAGGGCAGCTCCTTTCTTTTTATTTTTTTCCATCCTCTAAGGCTCTTTTGGCTTACGACGTCACGGTGTAGTTAAACAAAGACAATAAAATATTTATGTTTTCAACGTCTAAATTTCCATAGTCTAATTGGTCTAAATGCATCATATACATACATTGACTTACAAATAAAAGGACGACGGGTCTAATACAAAAACCACGAAAAAAATGTCCCAAGTCAACCTATTTAAACGTAGTGACATGTAAAGGAATATGAAAAAGCTAAAACGTTGAATTTAAATTGTAATGTCATTGCAGTACTGCCTAATTTTGCTTGCAACAATTGAAACGCGCAAAAAACACCATATGCAGCTTCTACTGGAAACTTACCAAAATGCACCATATGTAGCTTCTAGTGAAAACTACTTGAACACAGGTATAATGGAGTAGTCTTTATTATTTATAAATAAATTTTATACGTAATGTTGAATTTTATACAATGCCATTTATTACAGGCTAGGGTGTCTGACTTTTTTTCTTGAGTTTCGAGAATTCTCGTACCCGGTTTCTCGAGTTATTCGAGATTTTTTTTAAAAACCATAAAAAATCAGCTCAATTAACTATAAAACCAAATGTGAACTTTTCGAAAGTTGTTTTGGCCTGGGTGTTCTGAGTTATGCCCCGGAATACATTCCATCGTTCTTGGTCCCAGGTTCGATTCCCAGTAGAACCAATTTTGGAAATGAACTTTTGTAACTTGGTTCTGCTCTGGGATTCTGTAGCTCTGATACTCATGGGGAGTATGTACAGAGAGTTCCCTAGTTTCAAACCAGGTGATTTGTCTTACAATAGAATACCAAGACCAGAAGCATTTAGAAAAGTTAATTTGTTAAATTGATCCTACCGGTATCGAACTCGGGAACTTCTCAACCAGTGCCCACACTGCAAACCGTTAGGCTATCAAGGTTGTTACTATTTGTATTATTATGCAGTGTTGTTGTTCACTCATTAATGTAATCACATACCAAAACTTTAATATTATGATTTTTTATCAAGCTTGTATCAGCTCTGGTTTCCTTTCTTTTCTTACCATTTTCTTAACCCGTTCGTGCATAGTACTGAAATTATACTGCGCTCAAAAACGTCACCACTTTTCTATATGCTACGGCATATACAAAAGTGGTGACGTTTTTGAGCGCTTACATTGATTCAACTACGGTGCTTACATTGATTCAATATAATTATTACGGTTTGTCACTGACGACGGTTGATTCCGTCAACAGGCATAGCCGTACCGGTCATAGTTCTTGCAAATGTTTCTTGTGCGTGAAAAAGTACGGCTATGACGGTAATAGGGTATTTGCCGTTGTGAGATAATTAAAATGCGCGATATTGATTGCGCAAGAGAAATGCTTTCCAAAATAAACACTTAGGTACTAATTAATAATAATAATTATAATAACGCACACACTCACGTAACAGCATTGCCCCGCATTAGGGAAACCCTGTATCGCGGGTGCCATGGACACACATATAGATAACCACAAATGACACCCAAACTCATGAGAGAAATAAATGTAGGCCATACACATATTTCTCCCGAAAAATCTAAAAAAATAGGGATTATGGAAATTCGTGCAAAAGTTATTACGGGCAAATGTATTTTCGGTCTTTTGATTCGTAACCCCGAGCCGTAGAAAGAGTACAACAATATTTGAAAGTATTACTAACATGTATTAAAAAATATTTTAGTAATAACATTAGCATCAAAGCGACTCTATGAAATTTTTGTTCTAAATATTTCAAACGCTTTGTATTTGATACAATTGAAATTGACGTGTTGGGTCTCGTTCAGTCTTTTACGCAAGCTATGAGTCGGAAAGAGACAGTTAACTATTTGATTATTTTGATTGCTTTTGTAATTTATATTTACGATTAATTTAAATATAAATTAAATACTACATATATATACTAGTGCATAAAATAACACTTTTAAATGATAACTATGACAACACAATGTAGTACTGAAAATATGATATACCACCTTGTTTTTTCACTTTAGTTGAGTAATTTTTACAAGGTTTTACTACACAATACGGCATCATTGACAAGCACGCTGTCAGTCGAACAAACGAAGACTAAAGCGTGATTGACGCCCTGTATACGATTGTAACGCGATGTAAATTCGGACACTTTTTAGCACGGACCCGACGTCCATTTATTTGTAAGTCAATGTATTACATATTACTTAGAGGACGGAAAACATATAACGGCTGATTTGCTGATTTGTTACGTCAATTTATCATGTCCTTTGATTTCCATAGTCTAAGTTTTATTAAGGTTTTCATCTTAGAGGATGGAAAAAAATAAAAGAAAAAACGAAAACCTTGACAAGTCAAGCTGACATACTAATAATGTCAAATATCTCTTATAAGCTTAGAGGATGGAAAAAAATAGTCTAAGCTCATAAGGCAACAAGCCGAGAATAACGTGTAAAAACTGAATTATTGTTTGGGGAATTTATCGCTCCCCTAACGAACAA